TAGCTGAATGATAATGATACTTATTTTCTAGTAAGGTCAAATTGTCTACACTGAAGCGAAATATCGGACCATTTTATGACCAAGTTTAGTAATTTGTATGTATAGTTTGTTTTTATTTTAGTACAGTATAATTTACAACTATTCTTTCTCAAGATGGTAACTTCATTAAAAAACTTCTCATGGTCCTTTATCTGACTTCAAATAGATTTTATTCTGACTGTCATTGAAATATACAATCCAGCTACCCTCGTATCTAATTATCGGCTCAATTTGTGAGAACTTCAGTGGTTCCTCGTTCTTTCAAATATAAGTAATAAGCGATTCCGAAATTAAAATTTGCGACCACCAGATATAATAACAAGAGACTCAGTCATTATAGTCCATAACTAGTCTATAAAACTCAACCGGTAATTAAAAATGCGGACTCAGCCTTCTAATGAAGAATCGCAACCAGCAATCATGCAAATAGAGATTTCTGTCCATCTGGTAAATTACACATAGAATTTCATGTGTATATATCCAACAGTTAGCCGAATAATGTTTGGTTAAATAAAACCACAAACGAAATAAATTATGACTTCGAACAATCATTGAGGTGATAATGCTATTTTGTAGAGAATGTATGTAGAACTAAAACAACATGTAGAATAACTTAGAATGGTGGAAATGAAGCGATTATTCGATGAAGATACTCTGCATCTAAAAGTGTAGACAACGTGCATGTTTTTGAATCTCAGTACTTTTTTCTAGTTGAGTTGCATAGCAGTCTCTTCATCACAAATAAAAGCTCTGCCGATTTAAAACGTCAACAACTATTGTTCATGGTTCATCAATGAGCTGAAATGTTCATAGTTCGACGGCGGAGAAAACTAACAGATACCTTTACTTAATTTCTCATGTAAATAAAAGAGTTTTGGCTATATACCTAACGAATTAAATTGTACAAAGCTTTATCAATATGCCATACATGATGGTTAGGCAATCTACGCTTAGAAATCAATCTGCGTTATGTTATCGAAGTAAACTGAAGACACTTTAGTCTAAGACAGTGGAATAATAACTCTACGACACACATATATCAAGATGAGATGTCAATTTATCTACAGGACTAATATGAAGAATTTACTTTGATGACTATCGTATAATGCTTGAACTGTGAAAATAAAACAAGCTGGGGAAAAATTCAAAAGAATATCAACAGATTTCAGAAATAATGATCGAAGTTAATAAATCTACCACATGTTTGGAAATCTGAAACCAACTTTCAAACCTGAGCTATGGAAAAAATCAGTTTCGTTATGCAATTTCCTTTCACAGTTATAGTTTTCCTAATATATGATGCACAGCACCACTAAGAAGCTCGAATGAACACCTGTGAAAGAATCTCTGAGTAATGTATACAAAATGGATCGCTCGACTAGAACACGTAAATCGAATCTCCAAATAAGTAACCCAGACCACACTCCGACTTAGGTTCCTACTCTTAGTCATACTAGTTAGCAAAACAAAAATGGAAAAAAGCTTCCTAAACCGCCCGTGTTGTAGACTACTACAGAAAACAAACAAGACGAAAATGATAACTGTATCCCATGGTCGTCGATCTTCAAAGCCAGTGAACAGACATTTGATTGTAAGTTCTGTGGTGTCTGCTTTCACAGTCTCTATGATAATACAGTACCTAGGCAGAACTACGGATCTAAATTAAGTCACCCCTGTCAGTGATTCTACTAAGTTTCCCGACAGTGCAGAAAATATGCACCAACTAATCTAATACAAGTGAAGCATAAGATCTCATTGCAAGCAACTGTATTAATTCCCACCTTTATATTCCGAATCCTCAAACACGTAACTACGAGAGACACAACCGAAGCCTGTTCAACATTGTAATCGCCGACTTTCGCTAGTGCATCAGTATCTGTTAGCAGCACAGAGCAATGGTTGAACGTTTGTAAGGGTTATGTCATCAGCATAGCTTCGTTAAGCTGTGCTGCCTGTATAAGGACCAAAACATAGAAAAGGGCAAACCTTCTGCCTTAATAGTAGCATCGAATTCAGTAAACGGTACATATGAAGTCACACCGATATCTTAAAGACCACTGGTCAAGCGGCCCACTACAATCCAAGTTGCATATGAAAAACCGTAGGTCGTAAAAGATACCACTATAAGATCTACATACACCCAGGAACCAACAATCGTGATGGTTCACTGAATGTATGAGCTCGGAAGTGGTAGTCGGACGCGTTGTGCAACAGTGGCATTGGCTTCAAATCATTACAATAACCGGTGTGCAGGTGATTTATCCCCTGGTGAATTATGAATGGTAACTCTAAGGACTATTAATCGACCAATGTATTATGCCTTTTTCCTATTGTACAATTGTTACGTAACTAAACTATTCATATTCGTATCTCTCTTACCATTAGCTTTATTTTGACCTTGACTTATTATCATGCGATTCTTGGGTTATAATCAGTTTATTGATTACTTTGGTTTGCATAAAAACCCAATGTGTCTGTAAATAATGATTCATATTCACGAGGCTGTTATTTGTGTTCTGGACTCAACTGGCTGGGCTAGGCAGATCGCAAGACCGGTTAGCACTCAAGGCTGCTCGTACGATTTCAAGTATCATTTGCGTCCGATCAAGTAAATTCACTCCTCCCTAAATTGGCGTTCATATATTAAGACGTTATAACAGCAGGCTACTTCATCCATTACACCTCGAACGATCAAATGTCTTTATAATAACATCAGAGGACGCAAAGGCACACTATGAGGAATCAGACACATATACGTTCATTCGGATCTGAAGATCATATGGAATATGGATATCGCCCGACACCATGGATGCAGAAGTGAGCTCGCATAGCATAACACGTTTCTGATAAGACAAATTACAAAAAACAGGGGTTGGAGTAGCAATATGGAAAATGGTCACTTCGAGAACGTAACTTCATGTAGTGCTGAATTGAGTGAGGAGAAAGAATCACCCTATTGTTGCCTGAACGTGCATAGCACAGTATAAATGATAAGAGGATTATACCAACCTGTCACCGGTTGCAACACCCGAAAAGATGAGATGCTTAAACCAGCGTACGAGGGGACTGATCTTATACTATCAACTTAAGACTTCAGCCTTCCACCCCTAAATCTCGACAGGCAGGACACAACCGTCACCGAGTCGTTCCACAGGCGACTTGCCACTGCCACCAGAGGTTCAGAAATGAATTAACATGTTGGTTGCATCACGAGTTCAAACAGAGTCGGAAAACCCTCAAACGTATGTTGTCTAATGATAATCGATAAAACTGTAATTGAGAATATCCTTGTTCATGCACCGGTAGGATGAACTAACAAAGGTTCAGTCATGTGTATAAACGAAATACTTTGGAGAGACGAGAACTATCCCTACTAGACTTAATCTGAGCAGGCTACACAACGATGAGCGAGCGTCTTTATTAAGCTCCGTGGCCACGAGGGTGGTGGAGGCTAACGGTAAGTGACCGGTGGAGAATCGTGAGAATGCTACTCAATACAGTTTACCCCAAGCCAAACACACCCGATAACCGAATACCCTGGAATAAGATAGGCACAGGACGCTTGATGCTGACCAAACAGAGAACCTGGCGTAAATGAAGTATCTGGACCAAAGTTACAATTTTTCATTGAGAAAGAGATGTAAGACCAAGTTCCTCTGTGACTTGAGATGTTTCAAGACAACGCTAATAGACAAAATACAGGTTAACCCTGTATATAACAACACATTGCTGACCAGAAGAAAGCCTACAAACTAGGTTTCTGCACTCTGAAATAGGCCAAATGGTGAAGTTCTTACCTGAATAATGCAGAGATTTTTAATGTTTATTTCCTAGACCAACCATAACCATAGAACAACTCTCATCTCTAGTGCCAGGTGAGGGTCTGGGAGACGTCCAACCAACTCTGGAGATTTGGGTCGCCGCACTCATGAACGTCACTGGAAAATGACAGCATGCGATCTATAATTCTTAATCAGTGCGTGGAAGCCATCATCGTACTGTTATGTCACCTTTTTAAGCCCCCACTAGATCCGTATCAACTCCAGGGAGAAAAGAAACAAGCTGCTCGCTTCATTTTTCACAGAAGATAGGGGAAATACCCAGTTGTAGACAAAGGTTTAAGACTTAACTCTTCAACGTATCATATCACATACATTACCCTATTCGACACCAACAACTTACGTCTCCCATTAAAATGAACTCCCGAATGTCTCCTCATAGCTAGATTACAGGCTAGTCACCAAAATGGGCTTGAATGTGAGCTCAAACTACACAGGATATTCAACCAACACTTAACATTATGCAAGGACAGCTTGGTGTGATGATAGGGACGAGCAAAATAAGTGCTTGAAAGTACTCAAATACAAATATTACGAGGACGAGTTCGAACAGCTGGAATTATTTCGGCTGAGCTACAGGAGAACTAGAAGTAATCTTATAATGATATGCAATATAGTTAGAAACTCCGAACCACCTGAACACGAGTATCCTAACTGATTGTCACTATCACTCTCGTCGATGCAACCATTGAGAAATTGCACATCGAGGGGCGAACACCTAGGTTCACTCCCATTTTTTCTGATTAAGCTTACCCCAATTTGTAATCCCTTCCCAGATAAAGTGACCAAAGCCTTCTAAATGGACAGCTTTTGGAAGAAACTTTACAAACACATGCTCACTTACGGATTACCACCTCCCTCTGGACCAGCTGTGTCTTATGTGTACCACGTAAATTATCACTGTTATCAATACCGTATATCAATAGTTACTTCTTATCTCTGCATTTCCAGCTGATCAACCCATTTATTTATAGATTCTTGGAATAAACAAAAAGTTTATATTGTTTGTGGAGTCGCAAACACCAAATTACATTTGTTTTTCCAACTCTCCCCCCTAAAAACTGAAACTATTTCGACCTTCAGAAATACCTTACGGCCGCGGATGTTCGAAATTCGTTACATATGTTTCTGAACACTAACCGTCCGTGTGACATTCTGGTAAGCGATTTTTTCATAAGTTTGCAAGACATCGCGTGTTCTTTTGTTTCTGCATTCTAATAAGTCATAATGTTGAACATAGGCCGTACCACCATGCTAAAGCGATTCATGCTTGGTCACAAGTTAATAAACCAGGGTAGGCTCAGGATAGGAACAGATTGAATACATATTAGGATTTCTGTTTTCGTATATGAAAACCTTCAATAAATCCTAGTATATGCTATTGAACACTTATATGACAATTAAAAGCTTGCTTGGTCCCCCTTATTCTTCAATGCATTTTCCCTTTTATTTCCCTTTTATTATTTGTTTGTGCTTAATTCAATTTCAAAGCAAAATTGTAAGGCGTAGTAATCTGTCCATGCTTCTGGTAGTTTGTTGTACAAATTTACTCGCACTCATAAACAGCATTAAATTTGATTTCGAAATTACAATCGAATCCTATGAGGTGTAGATTATTTAAGAAAGTTAGATAATGCAATAAAATAAAATAAAGTTAGTTTATTGCATCGTCTTAGCTGTTATTTTTTCCTTATGCCATCATTAAAAACTAACGAAGCGTCTTACACTGATCCGTTTCCCTTAATAATCACGTTATTAATACCATTAATATCTTGATCTACAGTGCCAGTTAACAAGTCATTGTGTTTAAATGAGTTTCTCAACACATTTTCCATTTTTACTCACAAGAATCGAAGTGGATTCGATAAACAATATGAAGAGTATAAACAAGGAATTTATCTCACTCAGTGTGTGATGAATGTATTTCAAGAGAAGTAAGTGCTCTATGCTTTTACTTTAGTGTATGTTTTGCAGCTTATCTTCAACGGAAATATACCTGTTCAAATGATCTGCGTAATCTACTTTTGAACTAGTTTTACTTTTAAAATATTCTGGCGTCAGTCAATCACAATAACTGTAAGCGTGGTACGAATGTGCATGTTTTTACAACTTACCATTAATCAAATCAACACTGCTTGTCAAGGTAGGGGTGATTGAGAATACGTAACAAATCTCCTAGCTACCTTAAGTAGTGATTTGCGACCTCAGCAATCAATCTCTCCAGTACCCTGCCTTCTGTCTCGCCATTTTTTACGTGATCGTTTTATTAAACATTGGGAATATCCCAAGACACATTCATCTCGACATGGACTACTCGTAAACGCCGGTTTATTCGACCGAGTCCTTTCTGAAGAATAATTTCCCACAACAGCGTCGCCACTGATTCAATATCTCTCCATCGTATATCCGCACATGTTCACGTACTAACTTGCATAATAAACATGCTATTTCCATACAGTTGTCTATACTATCTAGTAGCTTGCCGAACAATTCCCATATCAGTGAACGAAATCATTACTTTCTCCTTATGTACGCCGCCTTTGGGTATTCTGACGTCTATATAAGTGGTCTCGATTCGTATCCACATTTTGTGTTACGTCAAAGTATATAAAAATTACTTTCAAGCTCTCCATATCTCCATAGGCCATCTAGATAAATATTGTTGTATCGCTTATACTGACTAGCTTCTGGATGAATTTTTCGATTTTAATCCAAAATTACCGTTTATCGAGTCGAGTAGACCTGAGATAAAACGACAACTCGAATGACAGTAAATAAATATTGCAATACATTTAAGTAGAATGAAGTGGAAAACGTAGAATGTAACTCAGCAAATTAGTCATATCATTCTATTCTGTGTTCAATATTATTCAATTACCTAAGTAGACTTTAAACACCCATCCAAAAACTCATTGGTTTCTAATGGTTAGTTGTTAATTAATATTCTTTTCAAAAAGTACTTACTTAAAGCCTGGTCATAGACTACTGCATTGTTTTGTTTGCTTCGTCGCCATTAAATACGAAAAGTCATTATCGAAATATAAATTATTCATTATGATTGTTATTAAATTAATGTATGTGAATATCACCTTTGTTTTTTGCAAACATTTTTCAAAGTATGCCACATTCATTAATCAGTCATTCAGTCATAAGGGACGAGAACCAAACACGTTTGTACATCGATTCAGTTTGCCATACTCCATTAGGACAACTGTATAAAATTTTCAGGTGAGATTCTAAGGTAGATGTAGTAACCGTGTTAGTAATAATATAAAAGATTAGGCATAGATCTGGTTCCAGAGGAAACTATGAATTCGTGTATTAAAAAATAATTTACATGGTAATTTAGAAGCTTAGAGTCTAAGAGAAAATAAAAAGTGAAAACATCTGCACCACTGCGACTGATTGCGATCCATGTCACTCAGTATCTGACCATTGGTTAAGATAATCACACAAATCCCAACCAGGTAGTCTACACCTACCTACACGGCTCTGTCCAACAGTCATTGTCTTCATGGACTGATGCTACGTTTTAGTTTGGGCACTTTTATGTCTCGCAGTGTTCAAGTCTTATACTAACACACAAACTTCCTATGTATAAACTTCATTAATTGATTCGCCATACTTACGTAGTCCTTTACGTCTAACACCTTCATTCCACACTCAGTGGTCCCAAAATATTGCGGCGATTGTTTGAAAACACTATCGAAAGTAAAAATAGTTCTGGTTTATAACCTAAATAAACGTTCTAGTCGTTTGTCTATGACGAAAAACACTGCGTAATTTAACTATTCAGAGGTATTTTCGGATGATACAGCTATTCGTTACCGTCGGGCTATCCTCATGCACAATCTTCCTTATCATTTTTTGGAGAATAGATGTGAACTTCAGTCGAATTATTCACGAGCTCTATCAAGATTAAGTGGTCGTTTACGTGATGCTCTGGCAAAAACAACGGGTGGGTAAGTTTTCCGAAAATACAATTAACAACTATTTTGCTTTCTCCAGTCATTTAAAACTATGAGCATTTAAAAGATAGTGATCAGTTATATGTGCTGAATTATGTCTTATAATCACTTTTGTATAATATTTGTTGTTGTACAAGGATACCTTAGTTTCTCGCCTGAATTCAAGCTTTTGACTTTCGAATTATCTGCTCTTTCTACGGTCAGTTCATCAGATAACAGAAGTGGCTGATGGCCAGACTTCAGTTTTACCACATCCAATAATTTATGTTTAAATATGTACATGAAATAAAAAGTTGTTCACCTATTAAGAAGGATAATTTATTTATTATTTGATTTAACTGGAGACGCTACTAATTTATGTTACCAGTACACGAGGCAATAAAAAAATATAAATGATTTTGATTAAGTTCACACATTCTTGACAGTACAGTAATTTCTTTTAATCACTGCCATCTATCTTCAGAAATAAAACATATTCGATACAAAGTAATGTGAAGTATCTTTGCAGTTACTGCTACGCCTGCTTTCAGTGATTCTGCTGGAATGTTGTCTGGTCCCGCTGCTTTACCGCTCTCCATTTCTCTGATGACTATGCTGATCACTTCAATTGTTGGTGGGCCAACATTGATTGATAGGTCCGTAAGTACTGCTTCGATGTTGGGTGGGCTCAATGTGGCTGGTCGATGTAAGAGCTCCTTAAAGTGCTCTACCCACCTGTTTCGTTGTTCACCAATGTTGGTGATTACTTTGCGTTCCTTGCTTTTCACTGGTCTTTCTGGTTTACGGTATTTTCCAGCGCATTTTTTTGTTGTACCATGCAGCCTTTTCCGCCGTCATTGCTAGATATTCCACATATTTACGTTTGTCGGCTCTGATGCTCCTTTCTATTTGCTTGTTTACTTCTGTGTATTCAGCTCGTCCCTTGGCCTTCTCTTTTCCTGTTCGGCTGATGTTGGTTTCTGCCTTCTTGTTCCTCCTTTCTTCAATCTTATCCTTTGTACCAACATTGATCCTTTCTTTGTGGTGGTGATTTTTGTGGCCCAGAACCTCCTGATACTTTAAAGTGATTACCTTCTTGATCCCTTTCCAGTTACTCTCCGTAGTAGTTCCCTCTCCAGTGAATAGATCGTGAAACGCCTGGAACTTATTGTTGAGCGCTATCTTGAATTTGAGTTTGTCAGTATCCCAAAGAAAAGCCTATTAAACTTTTGCGATGTTGTCCACCCCGTTGTCCAGTGCTTTTAAATTTTTAATTTCGTCTTGGTGACCAGCAAGTGAATGTTCTGAGGCTATATCAGCTCCTCTCTTGGCTCTCACGTCCTTCATCGTTCTTCTGAACTTTGTATTGGTGCAGATATGGTCGGCTTGGTTCTGTGTAGTATGATCCAATGAAGTCCATATGGTTTAATGAACGCGTTTATGTGGGAATATAGTACCGCCTATGACCATTTTACTGAAGGCACATAGGTTTGCAAATCTCTCACCATTTTTGTTCCTTTCTCCAAGTCTATGTCATCCCATGATGTCTTCATATTGGGTGTTGTCCATTCCCACCTTGCCATTCAGGTCCCCCATCAGAGTGATCAAGTTCATTGTTGGTCATTTCTCAGCCTATCGTAGAATTGATATTGAATGTCCTCATTGTTATTGCTGGTAGGCGCATAGCATTGGATGACGTTCATTTTATTGCCTTCTTACTTTGTTTTGAAGGTTTTGACAATCCTGGGTCCATGAGATTCCCATCCTATAAGTGCTTTTTGTGCTTGTTTGCATAGCATCAGTGCAACGCTTTGTGTATGAGCAGCATTTTCTTCTTCATGGCCGAATTATAACAACAGGTCCCCTGAAGCTAGTCTTTCTTGTCCAGTGTGTTTCACTGATCCCAAGCACCTCTAGGTTGTATCTTTTCATTTATCCAGCAATTTGAATTGTTATTTTTTCTGGTTAGCATTTTTTTAGCGAGTTAATTTTCTACAGGATGGAGTCGCTAACCCCATTCTCAACCCTCCTTCTTTTCCTGAGCTTGTGACCGACAGTAACCCAAGAGGGGCTCCAAACGGGGTTGTCAGACACTGCGCGTAACATTTGAGTTACAATAATTAAAATTTATTAATTGGATAGTTTTCACTGAACATAAGTCATTATGAAAATAGCATTAAAGATCAAATAACTAATTACGAATTAAATACACTAAGATTTAACGAATGTGAATCACTTTAAATAATTTGTATAACAAAATGCGTGAAAATTGACCGAATGAAAATAAACTGAAATCGATATCCAAAATCAAGACTAATTTACTTCATTATATGTTGTATTTGGGGAAGACATATTTCCAACAAACTGGAATCGTTTTAAAAAACCTATTAAAAGTCAGATAGTGTTGGATAGCTGTTTTGTCGTAGTTTTAAAATTTCTAACCGTAGCTGCCAGCTTGACATAGTGGTCAGGCTTGCTTATCGTGATTATCCTGTCGAGGTATATTGGTTTTAACAGTTGTCCCTTCAGCGCTTTCCACGTTAGATAAGTCGTTTAAAGAGTGTTAAGACTTTGTTCAGTAACAGAAAGCCTAAGAGAACGAAGTCGTACTGTCCACTGTTCCGGATTGCGATGGCAGTTAGATGTTTCCCTCAGAATATCAATATTAGTAGCAATGCCACCTTCCCATTACAGAAGAAAAAGGCAAAAAAATTGACCTCGAAAATAACACATCACGTCCTGCCGCATGAATTTCCATCACTAGTTTGAAAATCACAAGGTGATGTATCACTAACTGCCCACTGATCAGTCTTCAGTAATTGTTCTTTGGGTTCCGCTGTCGACAAGACCATTACTAATCTAATTTCCTTTTTAGATCCCCAAAGAAATCCCCCCCTAAAACCGGGGGAGTAACCGGTGAGTAACAGTCACTCACACACCCCTGACAACAACAGAGGTCACCTTGTTCACAATCAAATCCTTGCTTGAATACGTAATATTTCTTTTTTTCATAATATCAGCCCTTTTCTTATGATTTTTTAAAATGCCGACCAACCGTTATCCCTACTCTCCTGAAATCTAACTCTAAACTACATGTTGGATCTTCTAATATTCTAACCTATGCCAAGCTGGACATCAGGCTACATTAGCTAGTATTCAGATGTATTGTGCCATTGGTCTGTACTACGTCTCCATGTATGTGTGACCTCGTTTCTGCTGTCTTAAATTTAATTGTGAAATAAACCGGAAGGATAGAGAAGCATACTGTTACTTGTTCACCATTTCTGGCTGTACTCTTATTGACTCCAGTTCTGATAGAAAAATGATCGAGTTTTGCAAATAGCTTAGTGGCCTCGTTTTAGAAGTAGGACACTCAGACATAGTAATCATAGCACAGAATTTTAATCTCGAAGTTGGCTAGCTAAATGAAACTGAAAGATACCCAAAAGGGTCTCTCGGCTTCTCAAGCCAACAGACAAATAATGGCCCTCATCTGCTGAAGCTATGCTCAGATGACCGTTTACTTTTAGCCCTAGTGCTAACCACAGTGAGATGCATCATTGGACATGGTGACATCCCAAAATCGGCTCGACGATCGATATAAGTAGACCGTATCACCATCAACCATCATTAACAGTCACCAGCCTAATAACAGCGGAAATATGAATCAGTAATAAGTTATCATAGAAGAATTAACACATTTTAACTGAACAAAAGCGTATAAACTTGGTTTCTCTTCAACAATTTGATATTTTTTCTTTCGATACTCATCAGATTTCACTTTGCTTCATGTTTAATTTCTCCTAAATAGTATCTGTTTCGTTTTTATTTATTTATTTAACCACTTAAACATTGGTACAAGGAGGCACCAAATATAAATGCGCTACGCTAATGGTTCAATTTATGTAAGGGATGTGATGCAGTCCTGTCGGCCAAACCGAAGCTGGTGGTTTCCCGCTACCCAAGTCTTTGGCCTAGAGGTCTAATCCACAAAGCAGTGGAGCGACGGTAAGAGATGCAGTCCTGTGGTAGCCGGTGATCAACGGTTGGTTCATACGCCATTTGTTCTTTCAGGATCTAAAATCCTTTGTTCACCATTAGTTTGGAATCAAGGTTTTCCAACTCCCCTAGGTGTGTCCTCCATATCCACCAATCCGGTTAGAGCGTCGGACATTTGCTTCTCATCCTCTCAATTTCGCAAACAACACCTGCCATGAGAAGACAGTAAGTAGGGCTTCCCTTACAGTGGCTGTACACGCGTTACCATGTGAGAGCATTTCAAGTGAGAAGGCGGACTATCTTAGTTGTCTTTTCTTTTAAACTTACAATCTTCATCTTTAAAATGTAAATCTATAAAATAAATAATCTATTGTATATTTCTCATAATTATTCTTTATTTCCTATAGCACAGTACATACAGCTTGGTTACGGATAGCTAAAGCTTTAGAAATGGAATCAAAACTACATGAAAAAATTGTTAAAAATTTATTGAATGATTTAATTAAACCATTAAACAATTTAATTGAAACATTTAAAAGGGACAAAAAGTCAGTAAGTATTGATTTTATTTGACTTTCTTCTATATTCCTATAATAATTAATAATTATCAGAAGGCGGTTTTGTAGAGATTTTAGTAATATTATATCTTTGAAATCAATTGAAGCTAGACCACCATGGAAAACCTCAGTTCGAATCTCGCGGGACGGGATCATAGGTGCGCACTGCTGAGGAGTCCTACAATGGGACGAAACGTCCGTCCAGTTCTTCCAGGTTTTCGATGGTGGTCTAGCTTCAATTGACACATAATTTCAACTATATAAAATTATTGATAAGTCGTACTTTTTTCTAGCTCTTTAACAAATCATAAACGTTAGACTTCTTAAAATTTATTCATATTCCTATCATATTTTATCATATAGATGAAGTATTTTTGTCTTGTAGTTAGTTTTGAAAGATATCACATCGAAACAATAAATGGTAAAATGTGTACTATACTGACAAACCAATAAGGTTTAAAATGACTCAATTTGGATCTTTGTGCTAAATCCAGTGCCTGATAGCCTGTTTTCTAATGAAAGCTAGGAAAATACTTCAGTATTTATCTACTAAAATGGTTAAATTTGATGAAAAAAAACTAAAGAATGAGAAAATCATTTGTGAATTTGTTCAGTTAACATGAATGTTCCTGATTTTTGAATTCAAAGAACTAATTCCATAAGTATATATCGATATGGTCCTGCAGAAAATTTGTCTACTCGAATCTCAATAAGTACTCCCGATTCCTAACTTCAATCTCAACCATGAACCTCAGATCTGACCTAACTCTCCTAATTCTGAATCCACAAACCTCACCTAAACTCTTATACTTAGTATACATTCATGTAACACATTTTATTCATCAATATCACTTGTATTCCTATTAGTCAAAAATTGCCCTTCTCAAGATCATTTAAATCCCACTAAAGGCCACCAGTAAAGCATATTTTTAATGACAAAAAGGGACTAAGGAAATTAAAGATTAATAAAAGCTCTGATTGATATATTTGTAACATTACTTACTTACTTACTTACGCCTGTTACCCCTCGTCGAGGAGCATAGGCCGCTCACCAGCATTCTCCATCCAACTCTGTCCTGAGCCTACCTTTCCAGTTCTTTCCAGTTACTATTCAGCCTTTTCATATCGGCTTCTATTTACCGGCGTAGTGAGTTCTTTGGCCTTCCTCTTTTCCGCTTCCCTTCCGGATTCCAAGTTAGGGATTGAGTCGTGATGCACATTGGTGATTTCCTTAATGTATATCCGATCCACTTCCAACGTCTTTTCCTTATTTCCTCTTCAGCTGGAAGCTGGTTTGTCTTCTCCCAAAAAACGCTGTTGCTGATAGTATCCGGCCAATGGATGTTGAGTATTTTGCGTAGACAACTGTTTATAAATACTTGTACTTTCCTGATGATGGCCGTAGTAGTTCTCCACGTTTCAGCTCCATACAGTAGGACTGTCTTGACGTTCGTACTAAAGATCCTGACCTTGAAATTGGTTGAGAGTTTTTTTGAGTTCCATATGTTCTTCAGTTGTAGAAATGCTGCCCTTGCTCCGCCAATCCTCGCCTTTACATCTGCATCCGATCCTCCTTGTTTATCAACGATGCCCCCCAGGTACTTGAATGTTTCCACCTCTTCCAGGGTTTCGCCATCAAGTGTGATTGGGTTGGTGTTCTCCGTGTCGTATTTGAGAATTTTGCTTTTTCTTTTGTGTATGTTGAGGCCTATTGATGTAGAGGCTGCTGCTACATTTGCTGTTTTCATCTGCATTTGTTCGTGTGTATGAGAGAGGAGGGCTAGGTCATCTGAGAAGTCCAAATCATCTAATTGATTCTGAGAAGTCCATTGTATTCCGTATTTCCCGTCAGATGTCGAATTCTTCATAATCCAGTCAATCACTAGAAGGAAGACGAATGGGGAGAGTAGACAGCCTTGTCTGACTCCGGTCCTTACTGGAAATGCATCTGTCAGCTGTCCTCCATGCACCACTTTGCACTGTAGTCCATCGTATGAAATTTCGGTAATGTTGACAATCTTTTCAGGAACTCCATAGCGTCGAAGAAGTTTCCATAGTGTTCTCCTGTCCACGTTGTCAAACGCCTTCTCATAGTCAATGAAGTTGATGTATAGTGATGAGTTTCACTCAACTGATTGTTGAACGATGATCCGTAGTGTCGCAATCTGGTCTGTGCACGACCGATCCTTACGGAATCCAGCCTGATGATCCCTAAGTTCGGCGTTCCGATTCAGCAGCACTCTGTTGAAAACTTTTCCTGTTACTGATAACAAACTAATTCCTCTGTAGTTCTCACATTGGTTCAGATCTCCTTTCTTTGGTATCTTGATGAGATATCCTTCTTTCCAGTCCGTTGGCACTTGTTCCTCTTCCCAAATCTTTTTGAATAGAAGGTGAAGCATGTTTGCAGTTATTTCAATGTCTGACTTCAGTGCTTCTGCTGGTATATTGTCAGGTCCTGCCGCCTTCCCACTTTCGATTTGTCTGATGGCCATCTTGACTTCTTCGATCGTTGGTGGAGTGACATCTATTGGAAGGTCAGTGTGTGCTGCTTCGATGTTCGGTGGATTCAATGGGGCTGGTCTATTCAGCAGTTCCTCAAAGTATTCTCCTAATCTTTTCCTCTGTTCTTGAATCTCAGTGATTGTCTTTCCTACTTTGTCCTTGACTGGTCTCTCTGGTTTGCTATATCCCCTGCCAATTTCTTCGTTGTATCATATGGTTGTTTCATATTCCCTTCTCTTGCAGCTTTTTCCGCCGCCGTTGCTAGTTCTCCCATGTATTTCTGCTTGTCGGCTTTAATGCTTTTCTTCACTTCTCTGTTTGCTTCTGCGTAGTCTGCTTGTGCTTTGACTTTCTCTGCTCGTGTTCGGCTGTTGTTAATTGCTAGTTTCTTGTTCTTCCTTTCTTGAAGTTTGTCCAGGGTTCCCATAGAGATCCATTCCTTGTGATGGTGCTTCTTAGGACCAAGAACCTGCTGACACGTTGAAGTTAGTGCTTCTTTTATCCCTTTCCAGTTGTCCTCCAAAGTAGTTTCTTGTTCTTTCAGTAGATCCTGTAGAGCCTGGAACCTGTTGTTGAGAGTTATCTTGAATTTATGGAGCTTGTCAGAATCTCGAAGGAAGGCTGTATTAAACCTTTGTAGTGCTGTTTGTCCAGTTGTCCAGTCTTTCTTAAGCTTCAGTCTCATCTTGGCCACAACCAGGTGGTGTTCTGAAGTTATGTCAGCTCCTCTTCGGGTTCTTACATCTTCCATTGATCTTTGGAATTTTTTGTTGATACAGATGTGATCTATCTGGTTCTCTGTGGTATGGTCCGGTGAGATCCATGTAGCTTTGTGTATGCGCTTGTGTGGGAATATTGTGCCGCCTATAACCAATTTGTTGAAAGCACATAGGTTTGCAAGTCTCTCCCCATTTTCATTTCTCTCTCCTAATCCATGTCGTCCAATTATATCTTCATATCCTGTGTTGTCCACTCCAACTTTAGCATTCAGATCTCCCATCAGGATGGTGAGGTCCTTTCGTGATCACTTCTCTATAATTGATTGCAGCCTTTTATAGAACTGATCTTTATCAACGTCGTTGCTATCATTGGTGGGTGCATAACATTGGATAACGTTCATTGTGATCACTTGCTTCTTTGTTCTGAATGTTGCTTTGATTATCCCGGGTTCATGAGATTCCCATCCCACAAGTACATTTCGTGCTTCTTTGGACAACATTAGAGCAACTCCCTGAGTGTGTGGAGCATTTTCCCCTTCGTGACCGGAGTACAGCAGCATCTCTCCTGTACCTAGCCTTTGTTGTCCAGTTTGTGTCCAATGGGTTTCGCTGATTCCGAGCACTGCCAAGTTGTATCTCCTCATTTCCATTGCTATTTGGCTGGTCTTTCCTGTCTCCCACATTGTCCGGACGTTCCATGTACCTATAAAGAGTGTTGCTCTGGTTGTTAGAAGGTGCATCGGTCTCGTGACTTCCGAAGAATTTCGGCTTTCATCATGAGACGTCATAATTATTCCTTCAACTCCCAGGGCAGAGTTTAAATGGATTGAATTATTTTTTTCTGGTTAGCGTTTTTTAGCGAGTTAGCTTTTCTACGGGATGGGGTCGCTAACCCCATGCCCAACCCTCTTCCTTTACCCGGGCTTGTGACCGGCAGTAACTCTAAAAGAGCTACAGGCGGAGTTATATTTGTAACATACTCCCACTAATTCACATGAAGTATACCTCTGCCTGTTACTTATTTAAGTCGATATTACCGCTTATTGAAAATAACACACACTTCGAATACCTTAGGTGATGTAAGTTCCAAAGATGTACACACTTACTATCTGAATTTGTTATGTCTATTGATGAGATGTCTAGTGTCTGTTTTCTTTAAACACAACTCACTTAATAGTTCTAAGTACTGACCAGCATTCTTAAGACATTTGTACGAAAAGTACTTCTACTATTCCTGAATGTTGTATTGGTAAAAATTAGTTTAGCTGACATACATGTTGATAATTGTTACCGCTTTACTGAATAGTTAATTATAAATACAAAGTTTTCTAATAACTAATCAGTTATCGTAAAATTATTCCTCTTCTACGAGTACATATTTTAATTGTGAATTTTTCATCAGATAAAGTTGATTGTCGGGGATTATAGATCCCCAGAAACCATTTAGTAAACGTCTTATTTTTGTAATTTTATTTTAGAAATTTGAATTTCTTGTTTGCGCTCCAAAAGCGCCCATTTTTACATTCAGACTGTATTTCCCACTTAGAAGTACTTTAAATGATATTGGTTTATTACCTCTTTTAATACGCTATTTTTATGCTGTATATACACGTTTGAGTTGTGCGTCTGTTTAGTTCGTGCTTCTGGCTGCTTTCGGAACATACTTTTTCCTCATCTGAACCTGTTCTTCTCCCTTTAGTTTACCCTGTGCTGTCGTTGTTTTTCTTATCCTTCGTTCCGTTCGCCGATTTACGTGATCTCGTAATTTCTTCAACTATAGCAATGATACAGTCTATCGCAGTTCTGACAGCTTATTAACAACGTTAAGGGTTGATAATGTGCTAAAGATTTTTTTAAACAGATGAGATTCATTTAAGTAGTAAATTCATTTTATCAGTAATGCAGGCTAAATAAGTCAGGTCTACAAAAACATAAATTACTCCGTTTTAACTGAAAGGTTACTTTGAATGGATTGTTATTAACAACAATTGCTTCCCCAATTACGTGACGCGTATTATTAGACGTTATTTACACAACCGTGTATTGAATAAATTTAAAGTTGTATACCATTAGTCACCAGCTCAGGGTTCTAAAGGTTATATGTTTGTATTCCAGACTAAAGATCCTGTGTTCATTTTCTGGTGATAGGGTCGTAACTGTGGACTGATGAGGAGTTTCTTACTGGGACGAAACAACTGTTTAACATTACCTGATTTTCAATAACTAAGGTCAGTCCATGATGTAAACTATAAAACTGATCTATCTCAACATATCTCTTATACTAATCATCATTCCTACCTTACTGCTCTTTCATCTTAACTTCTTTTTAATTCATTTTTTTTCTTACTTTTTTTCCAAAGATGAAAAAATGTGTTGACAAAGAAACAAATAATTTATTCTCTCTGTACGAAATGGAATTTCATGCCAGACATAAATTATTTACATGTTTTCGTAATTATGAACGGGTTTGGTACAATTATCACATACAATCAAAGGATCAACGAAAACAATTAAATCAAACTAATCAGCTAAATAATGATAAAGAGAAAAAGCGTAGTTTAAGCATGAATCGATTTGATATATCTAGTCTGTCGACTTTAGACTCTAAAAGTAACTGTTTATTATCAGATCATTATTCATCGATTAGACGAAATTCTATTGGTATCGACATGAAATTAATTACAACAACTCCCAAATCATGTGACACAACAACATCAAACCCATTATCTTTTAAAGATACTGATAGTTCTACAAGTCCATGCTTTGCTTCACGATCTAGTACTTTGTATGCTTCTCTACCCGATAAGAAAAATCCAAACATTATTCGACATCATAGCAGCTTATCTTCAAGGAATGAAAGAAAAGTTTTAACAATTGACAAGGTTTGAAGTTCATTTTTCAATACACTTTGAAAACTTATATGCATATTTATCCATATGTTTCATTTAATATAATTTTATCAGTAGTTCGGCTTCTTTGTAGATTGCATGAGTATTGATAACTGATTTCTTCTCATGACTCTTCTGAGTAGAAGCTAGCCTAATGTTGGCAAGTATTGTTTGAATTCCATTGACCTGTGATCTTTTTTGAAAAAGGAGTTTTTGATATATCTGGCTGATTTCCTACATTGATGTAAGAATCTTCTAAATAAGTTGTACTGGTTTCTTCCTTATGGACCTGAAGTCGATCAACTCAGAAGAGATTACTTTCATGTGTGATGATTTAATATACTTCAGTTGGGAAGGTATTAGCACGTATTAGCTGACACAACTCTATAGTGAGCGAGCCGAGTAGAACAACTCTGATGTACACAAGTATTCTTCACTTTAGCTCCTAAATTTTCCATAAAGACACAAGCATTATAAACAGATATGGGTGGTGTTTGGCTGAAAGACAGACTGATCAATTGCAATCCTAAATATCGATGCGATGATTCAAACAACCAATACAAAAGTGAATTAAATTTCACTCCATTACATAAGCCAAAGGCTATCTGAACTCAGTAGCTAAGTGGATAACATTATGGTGTTTAAAGCAAACTGCACTGGATTAGAGTTATGGAGTAGACATCAACTTGAGAATGCACGTAAATCCAGCTGACGAGTCCGAAATATGACGAACCGCGCTTCTTGAATTCCCCTGCTAACTACCGTTCATCTCCATTCACAGTTTTCGTCGTAATAATAATAATAATAATAATAATAATAATAATAATCAGTTGTTTTACTGTTTATCTGTCTGTCTCAATGTTCTTATAAATATCACTATGTTGATTAAGAAGTATAGAGATTCTTTCGAATGTTATTTAACTAAAAAAGAATTTTATTAATGTTAAATTTGTTGATTTTTGTTTTTTAGTTTAAGGACGCCTATAATACAACCCTTACTCACTATTATCGAACATGTGTGTCAGCTGAAGAAGCTAGAATTGATTGGCATTCAAAAATCTTGAAAGTAAGTTTAATACTTCTAAACTCATATACCACATATTTAAGACAACTCAGGAGAGAAAATTTACCTATCGGCTACATCATTTACTCATGCTATACAATCATATTTATAGCTAATTTACATTTAAAATGATCTACTGGACGATATGGGGAAATGCGTTTAGAAAGACCTCGCTTTGAACGCCCTATGTAACCTGCTTCATAATAGCAAATGAACTTATTAATGCACATTGATAGGGTCTAATGTGAGATTGTGTCCTTGACACGAATGATTAGGCGTCTGGTAAAGTTTTCCTGAAAGATTTCGTCAGACAATTCTTCAAAATTTCCTCATCAGTATTTCCCTTGAACTCAACGTTCTTTCATGTATATAGTATATATGGGAATTTACCCTTCGTAGGCCTCGGAGGGTCATAAGTGCAGTTATATGAAGAGTTCTGTGCACAAAATTAAGTTATTGAAATTTTTTTCAATTATTAAACGCCTTTATTCATAATTATAAAGCTCATTTTCATTTCATTTTACTACACCCTGCTATTTGTACCGATTAATAATTTTCAGTATAGAGTTATGGAAACTGTTGTGGTCTGTTGATATCAATAACCAACCTAAATTAGACAACTATTAAAAACACGAAAACATTGGACAGCCGTTTCGTTCTTGTATGGGAATTCTCAATGACAACACTCATCCACGATCCCGGAACTGTGAATAAGACTCAAGATCTTCAATCTTAGTAGTTGTCTAGGTTCGGTTCGTGATATTGTTACGATTAATACTCCCATGCTCTTTCTTCCAGTATATATATATATATATATATATATATATATATATATATATATATCGCAACTTCTGAGGATTTCACAATCATCGTTGTGAAAAGAAAAATATTTCCTTCTACGTTGAATCGCCCTTCAGAGATAGTGCCATATTAGTTTCGCATAAACTATGTCGCAGTTTTACATAGTTATTGTATGCTCCACAGGATAATCTCATGGTATGACCTAACATTCTGAAATAGTGACCACTATATTTATCATCTCACGTCTTCATGTAACCAGTAAATCAGTCACTGAAAAGAGATCAAGTACAATCGGATGTACAATACTCTAAACTGAAATAATTCAAGGTAGATCATTCGGAACATAGCCTCAAATCAACAAATCATTCAACATGATAAACAACTCAGTTCGTACTGACAATCTCCAGCTATATTATGATCGTCTTCCCACAACACCAAAACTTTTAAATTCATTGATTTACATAATATCAAGGGATAGAAAGATGATCTGTAATTGATTAGTCAAATTTAAAGAACGATAATCTGAACGAATACTATACTCAGAGAAAATCATAATGGAAATAGTCAGAATATAGTCGAACGTTATGGTGACAAGTTATCGGATTGAGTGAATCTGTATATTCACTATTGTTCTCTTCCTATTACATTTCTTTAACTCAATGCGTTCAACAGTTGATTTTAATTATTGAATGGGGAGAAGGCATACTTTGTATATATGTATATATTTTAAGATCTGCCAGTGTAAAGCAATTCCGTGTATGTAAATCATTTAACGTAGCTTATCTTTCTGATCATGATTTTTCTTAAAGATTCAAGGAGTTGTGTTCCCCTTATCCAAACCATTTAAGATTTACAAATGCTTGTTTAGGGGTATATAACATGTGTCCAAATGTTATTTCTCGTCTATGTTACTTTCAGTAGCAATATTCTGCTTAAGTAATTCAGACCTCAGTGTGTATACTCTGCCTCAGAACTGTACATTGTAGCCATCTGGGTAACTCCCAGAAAGTGCGACTAACTTTTTAGAGATTCCAAAGGAGCCGAAGATTCTGTCCGATCAGAATCCTATGGAAATTTCTAGAATATGGTGTTTTTGGACAACTATATAACTTTCTACTTCCGGATTGGCTGGTTCATTATACTAAAAACTATAAACAAAAAACTATAAATTTCTGGAGTTCTTGTAGGAAACTGTAACTAGTGGGGCTAAACCGTGTTGGTTGCGAGGCAATCACCCACCAAGGACAACAAAAGATGGTCTCTCAATGTCGTCGATTGGTTGAAGCTAGACATTAACACTGTTGTGTGCCAACTCTCTGGTCTAGATGTTAAACGTTTGCGCGCGATACCGAAGACGTTGAGTTTGACTTCTGCATGCGTTGATGTCCACTGCTTAAACGAGATTTCTGTCCACCGCTTCTAGGTTTTCAATGGTGGTTTAACATTAATCAGCTCATGATTTCATTGAAACACAGCTATCTCCACGAACTCAAACTAAAAATTTCTTTTTCATTTTTGTCTTTACTCCATGGTTATATAGAAGTAATAATTTAAATCGTATAACGATTAATTTCTTTTTCAGTGTCTTAATCATCAACAAACATTAGAAAATGATCGTTTAACTAGTTTGACTAATGGTCTAACAGTTTATCGTAACACTTTAGATGATACTCTACCAACTTGGAAAGCTGTTATAAATGAAGTAGCTGTATGTATATTCAATTATTTTTCTATTTATTTTATCCAACCGAATCCTTTGATAAATTGAAACAACTAGCAAGAACAACATGATTTACAGAATAGAAAATAGAATTCATCAGTCTGTTTCATAGCTTCTCATCTGCTGTGAACAATATATGGTTACAATTAATAATATACTTATTAAAGATTGTTTAACATCATCCAGTTTGAATAACATATGAGTTAAATTGATGTGCATTTATTTGTTGGAAAGTTATGGTAACGCAGAGTAGATAGGTGGTTATTACTTACTTATGCCTGTTACCCCTCGTGGAAGAGCATAGGCCGCCCACCAGTATTCACCATCGAACTCAGTCCTAGGCAATCCTTTACAGTTACTATTCAGCATTTCAATGTCTGCTTCCAATTTCGAGCACAGTGTGTTTTTTAGTGTTCCTGTTTTCCGTTTACCCTTAGGTTAAAAACGCTAGCCAGGTGATGTTATAGTTATTTGTAATCATAATCAAGATAGGAGAGGTTGTGTAAGTGTACTGAAATTGATAGTGGTATACGTAGTTACCCAGCATAATGAGAACTAAAGTCGAATAAATATGTAAACATAAGAAATAGATCAATACCCCTCTGATGTCACTTCCAATGGCAACTATCAACTTACATGTGCTTGTGGTAGCATGTATATAGGAAAGACAAAGAGTATGGCTTTTACTACATTTTCTGAACACATTCTTAGGATCCTATGCCGAAACAAGAGTAAAGTAATCACGAGTGCAATTTCAAAGCATTACTAGACTGATTAAATTTCATTTTTCATTCTTCAAACCTTGTTCTTTATCTCTGTTTATATTTATTGGTTGTATTGTAGTGAACAGAACACTGGTTGGGGACAATCGAATGTATTTAAGCAAAGATTACAGACTATCTCAGTAAATTCTAATAACCAAACAATGAACAGTCAATTTGCAAATTAACAACCAATTGTTTCAATCTTCACGGTTTCTTCTCTTATTCCATTGCTCATGCATTTTCCAAACGATTGCGCTTCACTTCAATTCTTTACTCATCGGTCTTCTGCCAAAATACATTCTATGTCTGACCCACACCATATACTACTTATATGGATATATGTAGACCACACCACAGTATGATACCATATTGCTAACACTTTTGTATAAAATCAAATGTATATGGATTGTTGATAACAGTGTAAACCGAGAAAACGCACACTTTTGCCATATTTTGGACTCATCAGTTCAATTTGCTTGTATCCCCAGGGTTGATGTTAACACTGTGACTTATCCCTTTTTTTAAACTACACTGAGTTCAGATAGCCACTAATGCTTGCAACGCATGTTAGATTTCATTCAATTTGAAATGGTAGCTGATTTGATAACACAAAGGTCTCTTAATCAGATCTTATACGATTCGAGTGTCTGAGTGAATGAATTTCAACTGTGGGATGCAGGTACGTACAGCTGACGAATCCTAAATAAGACGAAGTGTGCGTCCTGAATTCCACTTTTAGCCACATTTCCTGTAGTCTGTATCATCTTGTATCTTAATGACTATATCGAGGCAATTCGCACAGATACCTGTAAGTCAACCAAAACTGATCACAAATATCAGTAACACGAAAATCCAAACTATTTCAAATAATCCAGTCTAGTTCTGAAGTGTTTATAGGGAAACCCGACCGTTGCTGCTACCTTGACGTGGTGATCGGGCTTGCCTATCGTGATGATCCAATCGAGCTATGCTGGCTGGAACAATCGTTCCTCAAGGTCCTACCATGCCAGACAGGTCGGTTGAAGAGCGGTGAGACTAAAAGCAGCAATCCCAAGGTCCGAAGGCGAAGTCGTACTGCTGACTGTACAGAGGTGTGAAAGCAGTAAGGTGTTTCCTTCAGACAACTAGCATAACAGCGATGCTGCCTTCCCACAAGGAGGGGTGGGGTTAGAAAAGGTCGACCCTAAAAATGCACACCTCGCCTTATCCCACGGATTTCCGTCTCCGGCGGTAAGGACTTTTGAAGAACGGAGCTAACACGTCCAAAATCCCCCACAAAAGGCCGTGCGTGACCGGCCTCAAGCAGATGTCCCTTGGGCACTGCGGTCACGCTCCCAGGTCGTTAAGACCAACACTAATCCAACTTCTTTTTCAGGTCCATCAAGAAAAGCCCTTCCACAGTGTGGGCAGCCGGGAAGTGATATTAGCCCTCATACCCGTAACAACACACGAGACCAAGTTAGCCACTTTCAAATCCTTCCTACTCCTAATAACTCTCTTATCTCCACGACTAACCCTTCCCACGTCCTTTTATCACCTCGCACCGCTAGGGCAAACGATTCGAGTACACAGAACGTTATTCCTGGTCTCCTGAAACCACGCTCTAAACTACATATAGGAACTTTTAATGTCCGAACATTGTGCCAAATAGGACAACAGGCTTCCTTAGCTAGGACTTTAGAATCTTACACCATCGATGTGTGCTGCGTCTCCGAAACGCGCATACAAGATCCGAGTAGTGTCATTCATTTGACCGCACCTAATAAAAATAAAGTTTCATCTCGATACACGCTCCGTGTATCTGGAAGCCCTGACGCTGCTTCCCGTGGCCTCGCTGAAGTAGGTATAGCATTAAGTCCTAAAGCAGAACTAGCTCTTTTAGACTGGATCCCAGTAGACAGTCGTCTATGCGCTGTCCGACTAAACGGATCAGTAAGGACTCGGAAAGATAGGGAAATTCGTCGTTGCCTCTTCGTCGTCTCTGTCTACTCTCCCACTGACTGCAGCTCAGACGATATAAAAGATGAGTTCTACAGGAAACTTTCTGACCTTCTCCGAGAAGGTAGGCGTTCTGATGTAGTAATAGTAGCAGGTGACTTTAATGCTCAAGTAGGTAAACTAAGTGAAAGGGAAAGACTCCTAGGTGGATCTTATGGTGTCATGGCAAAAAGAACAGATAATGGCGACCGTCTGTTGCAGCTCTGCTCAGATAACCGCCTATTTCTTGCAAATGCTAACTTTAAGCATAAGGAAAAACATCTTTTGACATGGCGACCCCCGAATTCGTCCCAACGTTGGACCCAACTAGATCACATCGCTATCAGCCACCGATGGAGGGGCTCGATAGAAGACTGTCGCTCATTCTGGGGCACATGCTTAGATTCAGATCATGCTCTAGTACTAGCACGTATCTGTCTGCGTCTTACTGGTCGTAGGAAAGACACTGCAGGGAAACCTCTAAGGGTTCTACTTAATGATAGGCAAGCTAAGAATATATTTCAGGAACAACTAGAAAAACAGTTAGGCAGCCATGTTAGTTGTGTCCACCCCGAGGCAGCGTGGAATGACATCCGAAAAGCTGTGGAAACAGCAGTGATATCCGCTAATAAGGTAAACCATAACGTTAGGGAGAAACAATGGATCTCGGCAGCATCTACCGCACTGATAGATGCTCGTAAACTCATCCCACCTGGCTCTGAGCATAACGAAGAGTGGAGTCAACTTAAGCGCAGGCTTATAAGAAGTCTACGTAATGATCGTGAACAGTGGTGGGTAGCGAAAGCAAGAGAGATGGAAAAGGCAGCGGCAATAGGTAACAGTAGGCAGCTATTCAGACTCGTTAAAGAAACCGGTATTAGGAACCCGAATATCAGTGAAACCATCTCAGATAAAGATGGGCATATTATTCATTCTCAATCCAGGAGGTTGGATCGATGAACAGAACACTTTAGAGATCAGTTCAACTGACCTTCAGCCACACTTCAATTACTCACGATACCCAGTCGTCCTGAATGGCAAATTGATGTAAGTCCTCCAACCCTCTACGAGGTTGAAAAAGCTATAGGAAATCTGAAGCGAGGGAGAGCAGCAGGCCCTGACAGATTGACCCCTGAGATTTTTAAGAATGGTGGTCCAGTACTAGCAGTGAGATTGACTGAGGTCTTAGGTAGAATCTGGGAAGTGGACGTAATTCCATCTGACTGGTCCCAATCACTGATTGTGCCAGTCTATATGAAAGGACAAAAGTCCTCCTGTGACAATCACAGAGGGATCAGTTTGACTAATATAGTGTCTAAAATATTAGCCTCAATAATACTAGGTCGCCTAACCAAAGCTCGTGAAGAGCAGACTAGAGAAAACCAGTCTGGTTTTCGACCTGGACGTGGTTGCATAGACCAGATATTCACCCTACGTCAAGTTCTAGAACATTGACACAAATTCGGACGTCCCACAATAGTATTTCTTGACCTTAAGGCGGCATTTGACTCCGTTGATCGTGAGGTTCTATGGCAATGTTTGTCACTGAAAGGAGTACCAAAGAAGTACATTAACCTCATAAAGGCTCTCTACTCTACACAACTGGTCGAGTTAGAGCCTATGGTGAACTGTCATCAGAACTGATTACCACAAGTGGCGTTCGTCAGGGCTGTCCACTCTCCCCATTCTTGTTTAACTTTGTCATTGACATACTTTTATAGATAGCACTTTCATCAGCTAAACCTCCAGGAGTTTAACTTTTACCAGAGTCTTCTGACCACTATAAGCAACTATGCAGGCATGTTAGGAATGCGATTCTCTCCCTCGAAGTGCAAAATGTTACTTCAGGATTGGGTTGCAGCGACACCTGAACTAATGATAGGGAGTGAAGTAGTTGAGCGTGTAGACCACTTCACTTATCTTGGGAGTCTCATCAGCCCTTGTGGTCTGGTATGTGACGAAATCTCAGCACGGATACAGAAGGCTCGTCCAGCTTTCGCCAACTTGCGTCATTTATGGCGTAGGCGAGATATCCGTCTAGCAACCAAAGGACGGGTTTACTGTGCAGCAGTTCGCTCCGTCCTACTTTATGGCAGTGAAACATGGCCAATAAGAGTAGAGGATATTCGTAAGCTACTAGTGTTCGATCATAGGTGTCTTCGAAGCATTGCTCGTATATCCAGGGACCACCGGGTAAGTAATGCAGTTGTTAGGAAACGAGTACTAGGTAAGTATGGCAAATCGATTGATGAAGTAGTGAAACTTCATCAGTTGAGATGGCTGGGACATGTGTTACGTATGCCCAACCACCGACTGCCCCGACGTGCAATGCTTTATGGTGTAGAAGTTGGTTGGATGAATGCTAGGAGCGGCCAAACTAAAACGTGGCACAAATCCATGAAGTCACTGACAAGTGAACTGATCTATGTTATTAAGTGTAGACTACCTGGTTGGGATTCGCGAGATGACAGCAACCGATGGTTAGAGACCTTGAATGACATGGCTCAAAATCGTTTGCAATGGCGAAGATGCATCCACTCTTTGTGTTCTACCAAATTCTAATCTTCTGAATTCCTCATGTCTTTATATTTTTCTCTTTCAAAATTTATTTCACTGTACTATACTCCTTCAATAATTTCTTCAAACCCTAATCTTTTGGATTTCTGATTATACTCCTACTGTAGTGAATAAAACACTACTTGGGGACAATCGAATGTATTTAAGCAAAGATTACAGACTATCTCAGTAAATTGTGATTACCAAACAATGAACAGTCAATTTGCAAAATTAACAACCAATTGTTTCAATCTTCGCTGTTTCTTCTCTTATTCCATTGCTCATGCATTTTCGAGACGATTGCGCTTCATTTCAGTTCTTTCCTCATCGGTCTTCTGCTAAAATACATTCTATGTCTGACCCACACCATATACTACTTATATTGGTATAAGTAGACCACACCACACTACTACTTCTACCACTATGGGATTTGAATCGACAACTGCATCTCTGTGCTAATGTGGTATGGCAACTCGAACTGATGTACGTGCGTACGAAGTTCTACGTTGTGACTGACTGACTGATAGGGAAACCAGTTGAAAGTTCGATTTCTGAGATACCTAATTGACTATGATCACTTAACAATCAATTTTTAGTGTTTACCATGCATTTAAATAAACCAAAACCCTCTTGTTTATCCGCTGCAAAAATATTTGACAATTCATGATGATGGAGTCTCTAAAAATAAGTGTGCCCTCTCTGTCTCTATTACTGTGGTGTAGAAGTTATGCGTTCGCGCACGAGACTGAAAGTTCTCGGTCTGATTTTTCAAAATCAAGTCGTGAATGCACGCCTCCAAAAAGTTACATACTCGAACGAAACACGCATCCAGTGTATCCCGGTTTTAAATTAGAGTTAGTGACTTAAACTATGGAAATTTCATCTTTGTTCTTTTCATTCTATATAGGTCCAAAATTTCTGAAAAAATCGCTTTCCTGCAATTATTTTTTATATCCTCTTCAATGTTTTGTTCTCATGATTATATCCTGTAGCAGTCCACTTAATCCCTCTTTTGTACAGAGGCGGGTCTCGAACTCGAGAACACTTAATAGCTGCAGTTGTACACCTGGACCACTATATCAACTTCAGTTGTGTGGTCATACTATTAGTGTATCAATTTTACGTTCTTTCTTATGTACATAATTAATATGTTGATAATAAAACGTGTAATATTGAGGCAATCAATTGGATTTCCAGTAGCTGTCATTTACGCTTGCTTTGAGGTTAAAAGGTGTCATCAAAACGAGAAGCGACCGATTCAGACATGATACCTTATAGTGATTTAGGCGTTAAGCTTTCAGCCACTTTGTCTTAGTTTGCAACCTCTATTTGCCTTCTTCGGTTTGGGTAACTAAGTAGTAGTAACATTAGCTCTCTCAGATTTAGAGTGCCGCATACTCAAGAACCTAGTAATTGAACTCAAAAAAAGCTTTTTATATTAGTTTGTAGATGAAATGTGAATCTTGTCTTTACGTTTTTCCATTTTATAGAATGCTATCAGTTTAGCTGATCCACTATTAGATTTACAAAGTTTTCGACATCGTTCTCATCATGAAGATTTGTCTCGAATGTCACCGCAACAATCAACAAATTCAAAGAATAAACCAACTGATGGTTCCATTAAATCAAAGAATGTTGGTTTTTCACTTCAACGTCTCATTGATTTACCATGTGAAAATGTATTATTACAACAAAATCCACAGCAACAGAAGCCATCTAGTCCGTCCTCAAAATCACAGGCATTGAATATTATACGTGAAAGAGAACCTCAGACATCTGTTGACAAAAGTAAATTTTCATGTTTTGGTTTAAACTTGATCACAGAATTTTAGACAGTCTTGTTAGCCAAGTAGGTGAATATAGTTAATCGACAAGAAACCCTGCTTGGCTTGAGTGTTTTGCGCTATTGTTGGTAATTGTCTCCTTAGGACGCACTCTCAATATTCAGGGTACTGGTGTAGTGAACGAGGACACAAGTGGGGACAAATTTAACATTACAGAATATCTCGGTAAAACCTAAGAACCATACAGTAATACTTCGTTCGCAAAATATTCATCAATTGTCTCAGACTTAGTTGTTTCTTCGTTTCCATACCAATCACTCTCTTTTCTCGTCCGCTTGTTTTCTATTTTCTTAACCTTCTGCCTCCAGGTATTCCACTTTCGATTGGTGATACATACTACTTATGTCTGTTAACATCAGTAGCACACATCACCCCAGTACTTTCTGACAGATTCGCATCCTCGGTCATTCGACCTTTAGAGTTTCCTGTTGACCATTTCCAATCACTACGTAACATCTCAACTTAGTGTGTGTATTCCTTACCCTATTCATCAAATATGTGTAAATGTTTTTTTGTGTGGTCATAAATATTGAGTCATGTTTGATGGAATGGAGTTGGCATGTTTGATCTCACCTGTCTTCTTCGGCAACTGTATGGAACTTAAAAACCCGAAAAATGGTCTAGTCTTAGTCTTAGAATTTTTAATGGTTGTTCAACTAAGGTCAGTTCGTAATGTAGACCAACCCCCATACTATCACTAGTTACTGATTTCAAGAGGTAATTCCCGGGCGTTCTATTGAGGATCTGCTAACAATACAGTCCAGGATGCTAGATCCCCAGAAGCCACTTGGTAAACGTCTTTATTTTGGATGATCTCGTAATTTCTTCAAACATGGCACCAACCGTGTCATGTATGACGACCAATAGCATTAGAAGATGGTTGAGGATTATCATTCATTGATTGGATCAAATATGTAAACCTTTGTATCCCGGCTCACTCGTCTAAAAGGTTAAGTGCTTGTCACGAGACCTGAAAATCCTCTGTTGGACTGACGCTTTTTTGTGGAAATCGTGGATGGATACTGCTGAAAGATCCCATACAAGAACTAAACAACTGTCTAACGCTTCCTGATTTTCAGTGGTATTGTAGTCAAAGAAGACATGGGAAACAGAAATCAGCTTTATTATAAGAAATTATATAGTGTCTTTATAAAATATGAAGACAATGAATCAAATACAGTATTCGCACATCGTTCTTGAATTGTCACTTACAAACTTCATCACTCATTCGTGTTATTATTTTGATTGTTTTCAGTTTTCCTTTCTCTTCTCTTGATTTTCCTCTTCCATCAATAAGAATTCTACTTGCCATACCTGATATATAACTTATATTCATCCGTATAAATAGTGCATACTACAGTATTAGCCATATAACTGATCAATCTCCCCTAACACCTATGATTTAAAATATATCAACTTCATTATCTTATGAAGTTTCCAGGAATCATCATTTCATTTATTTGTGTGAGGGCTGTAATACTAACCGTGTACCCAAACTGAAGCAGGTGGTTTTCTTAGGGGGCCGCACCCCGAACCTTTGGCCTAAAGATCTGATCCACAAGGCAGTAGAGCATCGTGGAGATGGTAACCGGTGACCAACAATTAAATCATACGCCATTTGTTCCCTCAGGATACTGGAACCCATGTGCACCAGTTGTTTGGAATCAGTGTTTTCCTGTTCCCCTAGATAGACTTCCCGTTTCCACCAACCCGGTTAAAGCGCCGGACATTTGCAAAAATCATCACACTTTCGTGAACAACACCCCCACCACGAGAATGCAGTGAGTAGGACTCCCCTGGCAGAGACTGTATACGCTTGGCAATGTAAGAACATTTCGAGAGGGTGAGCGGAATCTCCCCACTCTCGGCCGTACCAGGGCATTTGAGGGCCCAGGTTAAAAGCCTATGCATCTGTAAATTATGTACTAATATGTCAATATTCGTCTTTATCATTTAATGTTATGATTTTGGTACACACATTTTCATGAAGAATAACAGAAGAAACTTTCTTTGTCAATCAACTGGTTTTCCTGATTAGTAACAAGTAAAATGATTGTATGATATTTTTTTTAAAAACAAACAAACATTAATCTATTACACTGTAAACTGAATGAAAGTGAAAAATATTTTCAACTGTTGATTTATTAAACAGTCAATGTTTCATAGTGACATACAAATTATATGAGTCTTGTTATGCAAATTAAGAAAGTAGTGAGAAGGGTAAAGTATAGCAACAGTGTAGTTGAATTGTCCTCACATTATGTAGAGTTTTTTAAAATAAAAAATGCCATGAGTAAAATATTTTTGTCTTTTTAAAACGATTACCTTCTCATTGGAGTTGAATAGTGACTAGCAGTAGAGTCCACAATGCACACTTCGTCTTGTTTAGGGCTTTTCGGTTAGCTATGCCTATATTCCAGTGTTGCTCTTCATACGAGGACTCGAACCCAAAACACTAACATTATCGACTGAACTACTGAGTTCAAATAGCCACTGGCTAGCGCAAATATAATTCATTACAAGTAAAAATAATTTTCATTACCGTAGCTGCTGTCACGACATGGTGGTTGCGCTTGTCCATCGTAATGATCCAACCGAACTCAGTGGCCGAGTGGATAACGTGATGGCGTTTGAAGCGAAAGGTACTGGGTTGGAGTCCCAGAATGAACATCAACTCTGAGATGCAGGTACATCCAGCCGACGAGTCCCAAATAGGACGAAAGGCGCGTCCTGGATTCCACTGCTAGCCACTATCTATCTTTGCCAACCGAACTTTGTCCTGACAAGTCGAACTATTTTTGTTGAAACAGTTATTTCTTTAGGTCCTACTATGCTAGCCAGCTCAATTGTAGAAAGTATCAAATTTATATTCTGAGGGTAAAGTTGTACTTCTTACTGTACTGAAGTGTGGCGTCAGTAAGGTTTCTTCCTTAGCATCTGTATCGATACTATGTCCTCACAATTGAGAGAGGAGATAACATATGATCAACCCTAAAATCGTCATACCTTACCCCACGCATTTCAGTTTCCAACAGTTAGGCTTTTCACAGCATGGAACTAATACATTACTAATATTTCACAGCAAGGTCGTGTGTATTCGGCTGCGAGGGAGTGATAACCACTCTCATACTACTAATAAATAACACTAGATATCTTCTTGTTCACAACTGGAAATTAGCTTTGCAGCTTAAAAAAATATGATTTTGCATTCATTCACCCATTGTATATACATTTGTTTAATATGTTGTAATTTAATAGCCTCTTTTTCCTTTAAAGGCAAAGAAAACACTCATATAGAATTCACCAGTTCATCGTCAACATTATCGTCGTCAATATCACCATCATCATCATCATCATCAGTTAACTTACGTTTAATAATTCAACACTATTTAACTAAATCGTCAATATTAACATTGCTTGATATGCTAATGAAAGATATTGAAAAAGAACGTCGTACAAAACGAGGTTAGTTGTCATGAATTGTTGTTGTTTCAAATTCTTTAAATATACTGAATTTGAATATAGGTAGACTAAAACGCTTGTTTTCGCGTTTAATGTTGATTAGTAATAGTATCAGTAATTCGGATTCCTCGTTTGCGCACCAAAAGCACCTATTTTTTACTTGCTTTTCCTGGTTAGCGTTTTTTTAGCGATTACGTTTTCTACAGGATGGTGTCGCTAACCCCATGCCCAACACTCCTCCTTTATCTGGGCTTGAGACCTGTAGTAGCCCACGGAGGGGCTACAAGCATGATTACCCTTTTTACTTTCAAAATATATTTTCGACTTGAAAAGACCCTACATATCATTGGTTCATCTCCGCTTTTAATACACTGTTTTGTGACGTTTCCGAATAACTTTTTTATGCTATATATATACACTTGAGTTGTATACTTATTGTTGTTCGTGCTTGTAGAATATACCATTCCTTCATGCGAACCTGTTTTTATCCCTCTAGTTAGCAGATGTGGGACTCATCAAAATAGTTTAGCTTGTATTATCGTTATGTTGCTGATCTTTCGTTGACTTCGCTGATTTAGGCGGTCTCGTAATCTCTTTAAATATAGCACTTACCTTCTCAGGAATTAGGTAAGAGTTGTAATTTGTTACAACTAAGTTTTAAGTTAATTCTACCTCAATCAAATTCCAATTCGTTTAACTATTATTAAATCGATCAAATCTATTATAAGGGATAATATTTTCTGGTCAATGGCAAAGATCACGCTGGATAAATCTGAACACTTAATAACGTGAAATATAGGGAAAACAAATGTTATTTGATTTATTCATTCTATCCAGATTAATATCTATTTGATGTTTGTTGTATACAAATTATCCTTCAGAGACAAAAAAAATAATGATTAGCGCTTTTTTGTTAGCAAGGTTATTTTCTAAAGGATGATGGGGGTTATGACCCAATATGACTAGCTTTATTCCTTTATCCAGGCTTTGATCTGGCAGTCCGTTCTCCCTCTCGAAATGCTCTCACATGGCCACGAGAATATAGCCTCTTCCGTGAAATTCCTACTCACTGCCTTCTCGTGGCATTACTGTTGTTTACGAAATTGAGAGGACGTAAAGCGAATACCTGGCGCTTTAACCGGGCTGGTGGACACGGAAAGTCCATCTGAGGGAATTGGAAAACCCTGATTTCAAACCAATGGTGCACATGGGCTCCAGTATCCTGAGGGAACATATGGAGTATGAATCAATCGTTGGTCATCGGCTACCATTGGACTGCATCTTCTTACGATGCTTCACTTCCTTGTGGATCAGATCTTTAGGTTAAATGCTCTGAGTCTGGCCTCCTAAGAAAACCACCCACTTCAGTCTGGATACCTGGGCAGTATCACAGCCCTCACACAAATCAAATGAGATTTGTGCGGCGCATATGTATCTGGTGCTTCCTTGTACCAATATTTATGTGTTTAAATAAATAAATAAATAAAGTAGTAACCTTAGTAGGGCTACAGGTGGAGTGATTTTGAGACCTTAAAGAATAAATGTGGTGGGAATATACTGTTTATCTACAGTATAAACCAACAAACATATGAGATTACCTAGTTTATGAATTAAACTTCTCTAATTATCAATTAACTGAATTATATTATTAATAGTATTATATCTCAAGTGGTTTGAGCTAGCCGACCGGAAACTCGTTCTTGGTTTCGTATCAGTTGGCACTCATCATAGCAGAAAAGAGCGGATCGATGCCGACTTCGAGATTCTGTTAGCTAGGCCGGATCGAAATGTATACACAGATTCAGTTTTGAAAATATATGTTTCTTCCTTTAAAAATTAAAGCGGATTTTCAGTTGACAGCGTATTTCTGTTCCTCTTGGGTACGTAAAGAAAATCTTGATGAATAATGTATATAATAATAAGTGGATTTGTTCATTTATTTCTATCTAGCCTAGCTACTAAAAGCTTCTTATTCACGGGTTTTTTTCGTTCAAGATTCGGCTCACATATTCCAAGCGTATATATTAGTATCAGACTCGGACGACCATACAACACAACATATTCGAAACCATACCGTCCTATTTCGCAATCGAAATTGTTATCACTGAGCTATTTGGACTGTGACTTGCCTCTTATAAGACAGGTGTTTGCGATTTGTCGATCTCTGGTTATTGATCAGTGTCATGTTTTTTTTCTGGTCGTATATTACTGTGGATCAAGTTCTAACCACGAAGCTGCAATGAGGCATCTTCTTTTTAAGTGACTCGGCTTTGCGTGCACTGTTTTAGATGGCGGTTTGAGACAGTCGACAGGAAACATTGGATACAGGTCTAAGGCTATTTGATACTTTTATTCAAGGTGCGGCTGTATTCCTCTTGTGGGTTTCGAACCCTCGTCTCCCAGCTTTGTATTTCGTTGATTATAATAACATTTATTATGTACTGGGGTCGGTGCAAATATGTTTCAGGTTCTACGCTGCATATAACTTCCTGACTGGCTGACAAGACATCAAAAAAGAAATATCAACATTTACATAGCATGGTAAGCAGAGATGGATAGTGGCTAGCAGTGGAATCCAGTTTGACGCGCCTTTCGTCCTATTTGGGACTCGTCAGCTGGATGTACCTGCATCTCAGAGTTGATGTTCACTCTGGGACTCGAACCCAGTACCCTCGCTTCAAACGCCATCGCGTTATCCACTCGGTCACTGAGTCCGGATAGCCACTTGCTTGTGCGATGGGATGAAGTTTAAATTCATTCAGTATTGTTCGTTTGAATCTTCCCATCGATTTGTTAGGACTGCAACTGGTCAGTCTCTAATTGGCATATGTGCATACTGTGCGTATTGGCTCGATATAGCCTAAATTCACAAGCATGATAAGCAAAGATGGATAGTGGCTAGCAGTGGAATCCAGTTTGACGCGCCTTTCGTCCTATTTGGGACTCGTCAGCTGGATGTACCTGCATCTCAGAGTTGATGTTCACTCTGGGACTCGAACCCAGTACCCTCGCTTCAAACGCCATCACGTTATCCACTCGGTCACTGAGTCCGGATAGCCACTTGCTTGTGCGATGGGGTGAAGTTTAAATTCATTCAGTATTGTTTGTTTGAATCTTCCCATCTATTTGTCAGGACTGCAACTGGTCAGTCTCTAATTGGCATATAGCCACTATCCATCTCTGCTTACCATGCTTGTGAATTAAGGCTATATTGAGGCAATACGCACAGTATGCACATATACCAATTAGAGACTGACCAGTTGCAGTCCTAACAAATCGATGGGAAGATTCAAACAAACAATACTGAATGAATTTACATAGCATGTTTTTTTACTAACAATATCGTGAGAAAAACATCAAATACCTTACAACATGGTACTTATATATTACTTGCTTCACTGTGTACTCATAATTTATTCTCTTCCTTCGTCTTTTTGTCTTTTTCCAGGTTTATCGAATTTAGTTCAAGTCTACGCTCACCAACCAGCTTATACCAATATAGATACACTTATGGAATCACGTCATCGTTTATACTTCTCACGTGTACGTCTCACCTATCTTTTATTATGTCGTCAAAAATTAACGCATAGTTTAAAACAAATTCATTCAAGTTCATTTGAAAATATAGAAACAGACAAAAGAATCTTCAACTCATTATCATCATCATCGTCACCGTCGTCATCGGAAAACCTAGAATTATCTTCAAGTTTAGTGCAGGCTGGATTTTCCAAATTGATTCTTACTTCACGTATATGTTCTGACTTAAATAACACTAAAACTATCAGTAATAATAATAATAATGATAAGAAATCATATTTGATTACATCACGTTGGATACGTTTACCTGATATGGATAGATTAACTAATCCTGGGTTAAATTTGATGGGTAAGTTTCTATGAACAGAATTATTTATAAATTTTGATATTTCTCTCAAATGATTGTTTTTAATAGATCAATATCCTTTCAAAAGTTACTGTCCGGTGTACTGAATATTATTTTGGCGGGGGGCCAATATTTAAATGTGACCAACTTGGACTCGTGTGCAGTTACGGATATGAAGGCTAATATCACTTCCCGGCTGCCCACACTGTGGAAGGGCTTTTCTTGATGGACCTGAAAAGGAAGTTGGATTAGTATTGGTCTTAACGGCCTGGAAGCGTGGTCGGTCACACACGACCTTTTTTTGTTAGCTCCATACTTGTTGCGACCTTACCGCCGGAGACGGAAATCCGTGGGATAAGGCGAGGTGTGCATTTTTAGGGTCGACCTTTTCTAACCCCACTCCTCCTTGTGGGAAGGCAGCATCGCTGTTATGCTGGTTGTCTGAAGGAAACACCTTACTGCTTTCACACCTCTGTACAGTCGGCAGTACGACTTCGCCTTCGGACCTTGGGATTGCTGCTTTTAGTCTCACCGCTCTTCAACCGACCTGTCTGGCATGGTAGGACCTTGAGGAACGATTGTTCCAGCCAGTATAGCTCAATTGGTTCATCAGGATAGGCAAGTCCGACCACCACGTCAAGCTACCAGCAACGGTCGACAGCTGCATCTCTGTGCTAATGTGGTATGGCAACTCGAACTGATGTACGTACGTACGAAGTTCTACGTTGTGACTGACTGGGGCTTATATTTAGGCTTGTAAAAGTGACAGTTCGTCTTTCATGATAAATAAAACACCATTTCCCTTTCATTGAACATATATTTTATTCTGAAAAATGTTTTTAGGTGCTAAACTTAGGTCTTATTTTTATCCAAACAATAACAAGTGTTTTGTGGATAGTATAGTAATTTCAATAGTAGAGATCATGAATCCATTGAAGCTAGAACATCATGGATAAAGGATGTATGCTGTTGAGGATTACCACAATAGGACGAAACGGCCGTCCAGTGCTTCCAGGTTTTCCATGGTGGTCTAGCTTCAATTGATTCATGATCCCAACTATTTTTAATAATCAATATCCTAATGAAAAATATACCTTTTCAGTTTGTGTTGTTACAATCTAATAAAAATAATTCATTAGAATTATTAATTATTCAACCTTTAGACAACTGATGGTCATGTTGGATCAGTCCATCAATCCATCATTGTTTGAATATTTTCATGGAGCTCTGTGTAATTTACTAGTTTACTGACAAGTGTAGGACCAGTCTACAATGATACATTTCAAAACAAAACAAGTAGATAACTAGAAAGTTATAAGAAATGAATTAAAAAATGATTGTTATGAATAGGAATAATTCATTTTGTATTGTTGATTTGAATATTCTGATTGATGTTTACGACTGCAATTAATCAGTCTCTCTCTCTCTAGAAATTGCTATCACATGGCCACGCGTATGCAGCCACTGCCTGTGAGGTCCTTCTCACGAAGGTGTTTTTTTCCGAAGATGATAGGACAAAAAGCAAATGCCTGGCACTTTAACCGGGTTAGTGGATACAGGGAAGTTGGAAAACCCCGATTCCAAACCGACAGTGCGTTTGGGCTCCATAATCTTTAAAAAAGAAATGGCGTATGAACCTATAGTTGGTCACAAACTTCCATGGAACTGCATTTCCTAACATTGCTACATTGCCTTGTGGATTAAACCCTTAGATCAAAGGCTCGGGGAGTGACCCCCTTAGAAAACCACCCGCTTCGGTCTGAGTGTCCGGGTGGTATCACAGTTCTTACACAAATTGAATTATGAAGTGTAGCTCCTATATATTTGGGACTTCCTTGTATCAATGTTCATATGTTCTAACCAAGAACAAAACAGTTATCTAATACTTTATAGCCTTCAGTGTTTAAATGTTATCAGTTACTAGTAAACTGTATCATCACATGACTTTTGATGTTTGCAAGATGTACTTACTGTTTGTTCTTGCTTTTATATTCTATCTAGAATGGCCTCCATTTCCTGTAGAGGATATAACATATGAAAATATAAACGATAATATATTTCAATTAGATATTGAAAAGATTCGTGAACAACTTCAATCACAATCTTCTTGGATATTAGACTGTATGAATAATGATAGTAATAATAATTATGATATCGACAATGCAAGCACATCGAGTAGTACACATTGTACTATTACATCCAATAACAATATAACTGATAAATATCACAATATGCCTCAAGAAATGATGCATAATCAGTCTCAATCTCCAATTAAACCAAATGTTACGTGTTCAGAAAATTCGATTACTTTCACATCAACCAACAGTTTACACAATGGTAACATAATGGAAAAATTTGGTCAAACATTAAAGAAACCTTTTCATGGTCATACTATTGATACTAGTAATCATGACAAATCATTAGAAAGCAATAATCGATCCACTGTAATCAAGCGATTTTCCAGTATAGAAGTTTCTAGAAAGCGATCACCTGAAATTTCCAGAATTCATTCCGAACGAACTGATATTACTACTATTAATAATAGTTTAGGTACTATTAAAAATAATACTGGCATTATTTCGAAGCATTTGATGCTTGATCATTCAAGAAATTCTCATAAATCCATTGTACCATTGGCAACTGATGAAATTGATACTGAAGATTCTATGGACAAACAATGTTCATCAATATCGTCAGTTCCTTATTCATCATCTATTTCGTCGGATAATACTGAAAATTCTAAAGAAATCTTAACCGTTAGTAATAGTGGTAACATTTTTGTGAAGTTTACTACACGTAATGTATTTTATGTGTATATTTTTATGAATTGTTTTTTAGCCCATGTTTAACTCATGTCTAGGCTCTGGCGCGAGACTGGTAGGTCCTGGGTTCGAATTTCGCGAGGCGGGATCGTGGATGCGCACTGCTGAGGAGTCCCACAATAGGAAGAAACGGCCGTCCAGTGCTTCTAGGTTTTCCCTGGTGGTCTAGCTTTGATCGACTCACGCTTTCAACTATGAAAATAAGAAATCTCCACAAAACACCTTCTGATGATGTTATACTTTACAGTGAAATATATGGAGAAGTAAATATTACTGTACAATTTGTTTTTCAACTGTTACTATTATCACTCAACAACCATCTCCTTAAACAGACGATGTTATACAACGTAGGATTTGTTTGGAAAAAATCTAGAGGTGTCCAGACTGAAACGTTGGATCGGCTCATGTGGTTATGGATTATTGGTCTAAGTTATTTAGATTGGTGTAGACTACTTGGTCAGGATCCTGGCAATAACCTCGATCAGTATTCGGAAATATTGATCGATATGGCTTAAAATTGGTAGCTTGGTATGATATGTATAAGGCCTTGGAAACAGCAGTGCAATCTTGTAGTAACTTAAACCAAAAGGTTAGAAAAATCAGTGGATTTCGGCGGCGTCTACAGAACTTATCCCGTCTGACTCAAAACACGACGAGGAGCGAGGAAACTCAAAGGTAGGCTGATAGAAAGCTTACGTAACGATCGTGAGTAGTGGTGGGTAATGAAAGGAGAAAAGATGTAGGAGAAAGAAGCGATATGTAACAGTAGACAACTTTTCAGACTTATAAAGGAAACGAATATTAGAAATCTATATGTTTGTGAAATTATCTCGGAAAAAGATGGGACTATCACTCAATCTCAATCCTGAAGATGGAACCAATGGACAAGACGCTTTCAGGAATATTTCAACTGGTATCCAGCCACCCTTCAGTTACTCACTATCTACAAGCAACCTGAATGGCAAACCGATGTAAACCCTCTTTATGTTAGTGAGGTTGAAAAAACTATAATCTTAATCGAGGGAGGGCTTAAATCTTCATCAACTGAGGTGGTTGGGTCATTTGTTACATATACCTAACCACTGTCTACCTTGACAGGCGATGTTTCATTTCAGAGACTCTAAAGTGACCTCGAGAATTTCCATCAACTTACCAGAACTAAATAGGGGTTATAAACCTGTAAGAAGAATAATGATCCTGATTTACAGTTGATGGTTAGGGTTAGGAATTAGATTTAGGGTTTTCATCACGAACTGATATCAGCTAAAAGTGCCAAAAGCGTATTTAGCCAAATGGCTGAATGAATTCCATTCTAAAATCCAATATATGTTATTCTAAATCTGATTGATTCATCCATCATTTATAGTCTCGCCATTCTACTCCTTCTTGTTGTTTATATATATTTCGTCTTTAAATTCTTTGTACAGACTAATTCGTTTTGGTCTCGTCTCAGCCATGGATTACGTGGATCATCTAAAAACAAACAACAATCTAATCTTAACAAATCTGAACATAATGGCAACGGTAATAATTTGTCATCTAGAAAAGTAAATGCCAAATCTGTAATATCAGAACCATCATGTTTACGCATGGTAAACATTCCGAATAGTTCTTCCTCTCTTGATTCAGGTAATACTGGCTCCATAGATAGTGGACCTAGTTCTTCATGTAAATCAGTTCATTTTCACACTGATTTAATTGAGACCGATGAGAAAAACAATTCAGATTTGAATCTAGAAGTTGGATCCTCTTCCAATTTGCATTGTTTAGGTTGGGCCAAAGTTCAGAGAAACTATCTGCCTCGCAATTCCACTGAAATTCATTTACAAGAAGGTAAGTTCATTATACTTGTGGATCATTCATAGTGTAAAATCAAAGGATTTTGGATAAAATTCTCTTGAGTTGTCCGTCGATTATTATTTGTCAGTAATGCATGAAACAATCAGTCTGATTACCAAAATGTACTTATTACTTAGTGGTCGACGTTTCATACTGATCTTTTAGTGGAAATTGAGCAACTTAAGACAATATCGAGGCACTCTGCACAGGATGTACATATATGCCAATAAGAAACTGATCAATTGCAGTCCTAAACAGTAATTGGAAGATTCAGCAAACCATAGAAAATGAGCTTTAAAAATATGAAAATGTCACTATTATCATAAATAGTAAAGGCTTGAATTATCATATTTTGGATGTTCGTGTCTTAATTTTTGAACAGCCTTTGTTGGCATATACACCCATCCCATGTATTTTTCCTTGATATAACCTTTTTTTCTAATCACAGATTTCTTTTATAAAATTGTTTGGTTATAGGTAAAAGTGTGATCTAGTAGATGTCTTTCATCTTATAGAAAGCAGTGTTCGTCAGCTGGAGTTGACTTTGTTCAAAGTAAAGTTGCCTTGCCCTCAAATGCCTTGGTATGGCCGACAGTGGGGAGAGTTCACTCTCCTTCTCGAAATGCTCTCAAATAGCCACGTGCATACAACCACTGCCAGGGATGTCCTACTCACTGCCTTCTCGCGGCGGGTTGTTGTTTACAAAACTGATAGTACAAAAAGCGAATGTTCGACACTTTAACCGGATTTTTGAACCCTTCGTGCCCACCTAGAGGTGTTGGAAAACTCTGATCCCAAACCAATGGTTCACATGAGCTTCAGGATCCTAAGAAAACAACCGGCGCATGAACCTATTGTTGGTGACCGCTACCATGAGAACGCACCTCCTTACTGTACTCCACTGTCTTGTGGATCAGACCTTTAAGTCAAAGGCTTGGGGTGTGGCCCCCTAAGAAAACCACTTGCTTCGTTTTGGGCGCTCGAGTAGTATCCCAGCCCTCACATAAATCGAATGATCTCTGTGGCTCATATCATATTTTAAGCTTTATTTTAATCTGTAGACTATTATGATACGATTTACTATTCTTAGGTTATAACCAGTTTATGAATTACAGTCTTTCACGTTCACATCCACATTTTGGTTTGATCTTGTACAAACCTTATCTCCTAATTTATGATGTGATATGGTCTGTTTTGTCAGGTATATAAACCAAATATGCTTAAAATAAATGATTCGTATAGTTGAAGCTCTTATTAGTGTTCTGGAATTAAGTGTACAGGATAGGCGGACATAGTGTAGTGAACAAAACACTGGTTGGGGACAATCGAATGTATTTAAGCAAAGATTACAGACTATCTCAGTAAATTCTGATTACCAAAGAATGAACAGTCAATTTGCAAATTAACAATCAATTGTTTCAATCTTCACTGTTTCTTCAATAATTCCATTGTTCATGCATTTTCGAGACGATTGCGCTTCATTTCAGTTCTTTCCTCATCGGTCTTCTGCCAAAATACATTCTATGCCTGACCCACACCATATACTACTTATATGGATATAAGTAGATCACACCACACTCGTCCCCCCTTTAAAGCATTCGTTCATGCGGTGGTTCTGCTCGCCGTGCCACTATCTTCTTCCACTGCAGTCTGTGCCAAACTCTCCGTCAGAATGTCGAGTCTGCGGCGCGCTGAACTCCATAGCTCCGTCGACCTGCCGGGGCACCAACATCCGCATCCACCCGGCACCTGGGACGTTCAACACCCGTACTCCACCGGCCTGCTGAGCCATCTACATCCGATGTCCGCCCAGCAGCCGCACGTCCCACTGCTCCTGTCCGTCGACAGCACCTGCTACAGCCAACGCCTCCCGCCAGAACACTCCACTCGACGCCAACTCTCCGCACCAGACTGCCCCAACTAGCACCTCCACTCCAGAACCGCAGCGGCGTCCGCAGAACAGCACCCTTCCTCCTCCTGGTTGGCAGCGACACCAAATGTAGTAAACAAAACACTAGTTGGGGACAATCGAATGTATTTAAGCAAAGATTACAGACTATCTCAGTAAATTGTGATTACCAAACAATGAACAGTCAATTTGCAAAATTAACAACCAATTGTTTCAATCTTCACTGTTTCTTCTCTTATTCCATTGCTCATGCATTTTCGAGACGATTGCGCTTCATTTCAGTTCTTTCCTCATCGGTCTTCTGCTAAAATATATTCTATGTCTGACCCACACCATATACTACTTATATGGATATAAGTAGATCACACCACAATAGGACTAATAAGGACGCTAGACTGCTCATACTGTTCAAACGTCATTGACTTGGCACAATACTAAGATCAGATAAGTTGTATTTCAATTAGCAAATAAATCTCGTGATAAAAGGCGGTCCTATAAGTTCACAATACATAATCTAATCGAATTCAATGTCAGTATATATGTGATTGAATGGATAGATTGAATTCTTTCCTTTCTCTTTTTGTTTTAGGTGATATTATCAGTATTTATCGTAAAATTAATACTGATTGGTGGTATGGTGAAGTGAATAATAAAAAAGGTTTATTCCCAGTAAATTATATTGAAGAATTTTGATAATTCATCATACCCAATAACTCATTCTTATATCTTTATTGTTTTGTTCACCATACCTGATAAAATTGTAATCAATTTTTATATAGTGATATCATTAAAATGAAGATTTAAAAAAAAAATTGATCTATCTGCTGATCTCTTACATCATGATCCGATGATGATGAATGAACAATATGAATATACTATGTACATATATGCTCTATTTCAACTCGTTATATTACCTAAGCTAACTTCGTGTATATATGACGGTGATATTAAGAAGAAGAAGAAGAAGAAGAAGAAGAAGAAGAAGAAGAAGGTAAATACAAGTTGTGTTGGGTAAATTTATTTGAAGCATTCAGTTATCCAATGAAACAATCAAAATAAGAAACAAGAAAGTAAAATGGAGAATGTGAATGGACCAATTCGATTTAATAAAGCGTAATTCAATATTTATAATTAGACAAATGATGAATAGGATAATTAATACACACAAATACCTTCATTAACAAAGTTCAAGTCACAACACTGCAATATGAGCTTGATATAGAGTTCCAGACATTATAAAATTACTTACTTACTTACTTACCCCTGTTACCCGTCGTAGAGGAACATAGGCCGCTCACCAGCATTTTCCATCGAACTATGTCCTGGGCAATCCTTTTCAGTTCCTTCCAGTTGTTATTCATCCTTTTCATATCTGCTTCTATTTTTCGGCATAATGTGTTCTTTGGCCTTCCACTTTTCCGCTTCCCTTCCGGATTCCAAGTTAGGGTTTGACTAGTGATGCAGTTTGGTGATTTCCTTATTTCATGTCCTATCCACTTCCAACGTCTTTTCCTAATTTCCTCTTCAGCTTTGTCCTCTCCTAGAAAACGCTGTTACTGATAGTATCCGGCCAATAAATATTGAGTATTTTGTGTAAACAGCTGTTTATAAATATTTGTATCTTCTTGACGATGGATGTAGTAGTTCTCCACATTATAAAATTAACAGTTTCAATATGAAATTCATGATGATGATGTATATCGTCATATTTACTACTATGTTGTACTCTTAAAGTATAATTTGAACAATTCAATTGTTTGTATATATAATGCTTGCTATGAATACCATATTAAACATGTTATTATAATGAACGAGAATAGAATTGGGAACGATTGAATGTATTTAAACTTAAATTATAAAACGTCTTAGTCAAATCAAAGAACCAAGCAATAAATACTCCCACTATTCCTTCATTTCTATACTAATCACTTTATGTTCTTGTTCTTTCCTTTTCGACTTTCTATTGCCAGATATTCTATTCCTGACTTATGATATATAATACTTATATTGATATAAGTACCATACATCATAATGTAAGCTGAAATTATATTCGGTCACTGAATGTTAAATATTCTATAGTTAGTTAAGTAGATACGCTATGAATTCACAAACATCTATCATCCTATTCCATCCCACCCACCCCCCATTTTACTAGACATTTGATATTGAATTAATTGACTATTAATATCACGATTATTGTTGCTGTTTCGTATTAACCCTCCCCCCCCCAAAAAAAACAAAACAAAACAAATTATTGTATATACCAATAAAGAAAGTAATTTAATTTACTTAATCTTTCAATCATTTTACATTCTCCATTTATAATTCAATCTATACACAGAAACAATTAATTGTGTGATGTGAACAGTGAGACAAGAAGTCTTTAATAAACTATGGAAGTTTATTTTGGTGAAGTTATTTTATTTCATTCAAAGTTTGTAAAATTGTAATATTTACTTTTGTCCTTAGTCTATTCATTGCCATAGCCTTTTCTGTTCGTTCCAAAGCTATTGTAATTTAGACGTAATTTTTTGCAGTCTATTTTTAACTCTAATCCTCCAGTTTTGGACATAATTGTATTTTCCTAATTATTGTACGTTGTGGTCGGTTTAGTCATCTATATTATTCATATACCTTATTACACTAATCTGAAATCAAGTACCAGATTGGAATTTGGAATAAAGCAAGTAGTGTTCCAGTTGTCTTGTCTTCTCTCTTTCGCGCGTCCCTGTCAACCAATCAGGTGATAGAATAGTTTTCGTCTCTCTACTCCACTTCAAACTCACGCATACTAGCCTAAAAGTTAAGCCAGTCAGCCTACCGCGTCAAGGTCTTAATCTATATTAAACAACTTATCCTCAGCACGACAGTGGGTTATTTTAAGCCCATATACCCTCATTCTAGCTTCTGTACAAGCCAATTTACCTATCTAGTTGGAGTCACGTTATGACCTTGTTAGTTATTCACTTATTAACCCTGATTATTTTTTATGTGAGCTTATGTGTGTGTTCACTTCTTGTCCTATTCATCACCTGTCTGTAACTTATTCTTATCTGACTATAAATATCGATTAACACCTGATAAAAGTGAGTTGGCTTACCCGCCATCTCCAATACGTTTCATTTTTGCTTCGCTCTCTCCTATTCGCTTCATCCCTCTGATTTTCTGTCTAGATCAAGGAGTGTACAAAATATTTGTATTCGAAATCCATTCTTGTACTTGATTTATTTAATTCCGTTATTCACCAATGCGGATAAGGTCATTTATTACATACGAGGATAGACAGGATGTATATATATTAACAACAATCATTCATACAATCTAAATTGGAGTCAGACCCTAGCCCAAACAAAATTGGTGAACCATATTTGGAACACGCACCATTACTCCACTAAACCATACTGAACATAGTAGCAAGATAGGTAAACATCCAATTAGAAATGTGACATGCGACTCTTTATTTCCTAGATATTTCTGTGAAACTTCTATTCAATACTGAATAAAGAAAATGTTTCTCAGCCTTTTCATGGCCTCTCTGGACTTTTCCCAGGAATACTTTAGATCTCCTCGTTATCTTTCCTTTTTTTACAAAAGAATACCTCATCTTTGCTGTATCAATATTAAGAATAACTAATATTACATTTTACTTTTGTACTGCTTATTGTATATTCTCGTTTCTCGCTATATCTTTAAATATATATATATATATATATATATATATATATATGACTTGTTTATCATTCATTGTTTCTTATACAAAACGCATTTAATCAGTTGGTAAGCAGTTTCTGTAAATATGCCTTGCACGTTACACCTAAATGCGAAGTACTCTTGCAAGTCTGACATGATCGTGTGTCTGCATTTACTCCTGGTAAGGTAGCAGTCAAATAGTTAGTTTACCTGGGTAGTTGTATGAGTCGTGGTTGTTGGATAATAGATTAAATCAGTTTTTTTAATGAAGGTCAAAATGGTCGTTTTTGACATTCTCATGACTATAGTTTGATAATAAGATGTCGTGTTTGGCTAATGAGAGTAGTTTATGCTCTATGCTGGGAAAACCCGGCCACTCTGAGTTGAGTACGCTCAGCGATTCGGTATTCAATTATCTTCTTTTCTGAAGAATTACTAACATCCAGTGAGAACACCATTTTTAATGTAATGGTACTCAAAACCACATTTTGCACTAAATCAATAGACGACAATAATTGTACGTCATATATTCGAATCAATTAACTGATCGAAAACTATAAATAAACCTAGGCGGGAGTTCACTAGCACAGAATAAAAATCAGTCAACATATGGAATCGATTAGTAGAAAAGCTGTTACCAAATCCATGAAGTTCCATGGCAAGCAATGAACATATTATATAAAAGAAAGGGGGCTCTTGCTGTCAAGTTAGCTACTCTCATACGTTTAGTTCTGTTGATAAGAAAATTGAACTAAGCAGAAATAAAGCTTTCCTTTTGTTACAACACCCAAAAACCTCAACATATATATTTAAGTAAAACCTTCAGAAGTCAGTCAGTGGGAGAGTAGGGAGAGACGACGAAGAGGCAACGACGAGTTTCTCTATCTTTCCGAGTCCTTACTGATCCGTTTAGTCGGACAGCGCATAGACGACTGTCTACTGGGATCCAGTCTAAAAGAGTCAGTTCTGCCCTAGGACTTAATGCTATACCTATTCCAGTGAAACCACGGGAAGCAGCATCAGGGCTTCCAGATACATGAAGCGTGTATCGAGATGGTTCTTTATTATGACATAGTGAGGTCAAATGAATGACGCTACTCGGATCTTGTATGCGCGTTTCGGAGACGCAGCACACATCGATGGTGTAAGATTCTAAAGTCCTAGCTAAGGAAGCCTGTTGTCCTATTTAGCACAATGTTCGGACATTAAAAGTTCCTATATGTAGTTTAGAGCGTAGTTTCAGGAGACCAGGAATAACGTTCTGTGTACTCGAATCGTTTGCCCTAGCGGTGCGAGGTGATAAAAGGACGTGGGAAGGGTTAGTCGTGGAGATAAGAGAGTTATTAGGAGTAGGAAGGATTTGAAAGTGACTAACTTGGTCTCGTGTGTTGTTACGGGTATGAGGGCTAATATCACTTCCCGGCTGCCCACACCGTGGAAGGGTATTTCTTGAGGGACCAGAAATATGAGTCGGATTAATGTTGATCTTAACGACATGGGAGCGTGACCGCAGTGCCCAAGAGACAACTGCTTGATGCCGGTCACGCACGGCCTTCAGAAACATAAAATTTAAACCGGTAAAGAGGTATAGTAAGCTACTAATCTTTTAAAATCGTTGAATTACTCACCTATCACAAATGAATTACAGTTATAGTGTTTTGAGTTTTGTCAATATCTACCATTGTTACTGATGTGACATAATTTAAAATTACCGTAGAATAATCTGTGATACGTTGTGCCAATCATAAATTCGTGTGATTGGTTAGACGATTCGAGCTTCTAACGAACAAATCATCGCAATGGGGTTTTGTGGAGATTTCAGTAATTTTAATGTTCAGATCATGAGTCAATTGAAACTGAACTACCACTTATTCACGTATATACATATTGCCTTTATTAAATTAAAACACCAATGATAACTTATTCTATAGTTGAGAACGTGAGTCAATTGAATCTAGACCACAATAGAAAACCTGGTAGCACAGGACAGCCGTTTAGTCCTAGCATGAGACTTCTGAGCAGTACGCATCCACCAACCCGCCACCTGGGATTCCAACGCAGGGTCTATTGGTCTTGAGTGCAAACGCCTAACCTTTAGATTGCTGATCTGATATCCGACGGTGTTAATGTCTAACCAATCCACAAAATTGCGCTACCGTCCACCATTGTCTTCCATGAGTTACTAACACACAACAGACCTGGTCTGATTCTACTGGTCACTGCTTCTCATTAAAACTCCAGGAAATACCTCTTAAAGCCAATCAATAATGAGCATATATCTATGAATATCAGATCAAGCGTTTGCGGTCGAGAAAACGAAGGAACAATAAAATCTAAGACACTATCTCTATGCTCATAGAACCTGGCCACTCCGAGTTGAGTATGTTCAGCGACTCGTTATTCAAGCATCGTCTTTTCTGAAGAATTATTAACATCTAGTGACAACACCATTTTTAATGTAATGGTATTAAAACACTATCTAAAAGTATAAACAACATATTATGATCAGAATTTATTAAACTAATATCAGGTAAATAGTTTGTTTTTTGGGGTTAATCAATATACAGAAATTGGATTCAGTAATCCAAATAGAAAAACATTGATTCACTTCTATTCAGTCAATATTGTCTTTTAATCATTCAAAATGAGACGTATTCATAGAAGATTTGGCGAAGAACAGGTTATTATTATCATAATAAGTAGTAATCAAAGTAGTAGTAGTAGTACACCTTCAATAGTTCATCATTATCAGTGTGTATATTCCTTTAATGTAGCCTGTTTTATTTCACAAAAGCAAAAATCAAAAAAAAAAAATTGATAAAATTTTCTGAAGTGAAATAAGAGAAAGAGTGATGGGGAGAAAGTGAAATTACAATCATCATAAAAAATAAGAAATTTTATTTTCACAAAAAATTATAACCAAATCAATACTACTGGTAATTAAAGATCTAAGTAATATATATTTTTAATTTGAATAAAAATTATTATTTAAATCATCTGAAAATATTATGCAATTTATAAACAGTAACAACAACACCACCACCACCACCATTGACAACAATAAAGTATGCGTAATGTGAAAGAGGATGATAATGATGTAGGGTAAAAATATAGAGTTAACATTAAGGAATTATTGATTTCTTTCCATCCCTCCCTCTTTTTGTCTCTATTTCATGACATATGGTTACATTCATAGAAAAAAAAAAGAAAAATAGCTTGAAATGAATCTAAGATTAGTTAAATATTTTTGTTTTCTTTGTTTGAGCGAATCAACGCCACTTATTTTTTTTTTTTTTAAGGGAGGGGTCATCATTTTATGAATAAGATTTTTGTTTAATTGATTATTAGTTGGTTATTGATTTTTCAATTGTCAAGGCAACTATATATATATATATATATAGTGTTTCTTTTAAGTTTCGTACAATTTTAATAGTTAACCCTTTCTGTTACTGTTTGATTGTCTAATAATAAAATGATAATGTATTATAATAAATGTGTAATATGATTCATTATTCATCTATTTTATTATTAATACAAAATAGAATTCATTATGAAAATACTTTCATTATTGTATATAGATATTGCATATACATAATAAATAATAATTAGTTGAATTAAATAGTGATGTATTATATATTAATCATAATAGTAAAATGAAATAAACAATAATAATAATAAGTAGTATAATCATTGAATTATTATGATGTATAAATTATAATAAATGAATATTAATTGACATGTTGTATTTCAAGTAATATATTAAATTCAATCTATTTAATATTTATTTTTATTGAATGGTTATAATTAAATAGAATTAAAAGTAAATCATGTCAATGAATCGATAATGATGATGATGATGATAATCTTGATGTTGTCCTTATTATCCTGAGACTGTGTGTATATGATCATCTTGTATTTTAATTGGTTAGTTAAATTGATTTTTTTTTTTAAAAAATATTAACCAAAAGTTGGTTTTAAATTAAACCAAATAATTAATTTATAAACAATAAAAGCTACAATAAAATAATAAAAAATTTGTTGAAAACATGTAATGAATTGTGTATTTGATTCTGTATTAGTATTATAAGTAGTATTATTAGTTCTATCATTTGTATTACTTGTATTAGTAGTAGTAATAGTATCAATTAATTGATTAGATAATATTGATATATTTGATTGATTATTTGTTATAGATTTATTAGCTAATGGTGGTAATAATTTTATAGAATCAATTGAATTATTGATATTATCAATTTGATCTAGATTCATAATTTTTTGTACTTTATCTGTAACACGTTTCATAGATCTAATAGCATGATCTTCAAATGTTGGTAATGTTGAATTAATTTCACCACTATAGAAATATGAATGAAAAAAATAATAACAAAAATAAAATAATAATGATTTATTTATAATTAGAAGAATTAAATTTTTTGTCTTTTGATAATGTAAAAATAAAAATAAAAAAGATGGAAACTTTCTCTGAAGAAGTGATTTAAACTGAGTTACGAAACATCAGAAAATCCATACATATATATATTCATTTATTTATAAAAAATCTAGTCAACCCCCCCCCGCCCAAATTAATTCGAAATTATCTTTGAAAAATTTCCATCTACCTTATAAATCAGGATGGTAATGATTTGAACTAAATGTTAAATGACTGTTATCAGTTGTTTATTGTAATGGAACGAAACTGTAATGCTTATACACGGAGAAATTGTAGATTATAAAAAAAGAATGCTTTATTCACTAAATAATAATTAAATGATATCTTTCATATTATTGATGGTCAGTCGTCTACAATGTAGAACCAGGCGCATACGTTTAACTTGCCATACGTTATTGTGGTGTGGTCTACTTAGATCCATATAAGTAGTATATGGTGATGGTTAGATATAAAATGTATTTTGGCAGAAGATCGATAAGGAAAGAACTAAAATGAAGCACAATTGGCAGGAAAATACATAAACAATGAAATTAGAGAAGATGGATTGATATTTACAGAAGGAACAATGAAGATTAAGACAATTGATTATTATTTTGGAAATTAGCTGTTACCTGTATGGTTATCAGAATTAAATGAGATAGTCTGTAATTTGTAACTAAATACATTCGATTGTCCCCAACTAGTGTTCTGTTCACTTTATTATTACCACTAAAAGATGAAAACCGCATTCATAGAAGCAGTTACTTCAATGGTAATAAAAATGATTTCATATTAGGGCATGATACAGAAAAAAAGAAACAGTTCGTGGGAAAAAAAAAAGCAAGAAGTTGTTTGTTTTTTTCACCTACCCTATTGTGAAGAATTCCGATCTACTTCACTCAAAGACGCCAACAATATCATCTTCATCTATGAATATGGCTCATATCAGAAGTTAATGAATTCATGTTATTAATGGCTTTCCATTTTAAATGTTTAATCAATCACTTTTGTTTTCATGAACTAAACCATTTATTATTCATTAATCTGGTGTTTATTTATAACTTATAAAATTAATAAATTAATTGACTTAACTAAAATATGATAACTTATTAGTGAACAATAGTTTGCTGAAAATTACTAAACTCAAAGTTACCTTAAAGTATGTTCTTATAAATGATTCTTTTTCTTACATAGGTTAATCCATAATTTGTCTGAATTTTATATTTTACCAATGAATTTTGTGATTATCTACTATTGTTGAATATTTTATTTAAAAAGTTTATTATTTCTGTAATACATCATCTTTGTGAACTACCTTTTACAATATTAGTGATCCAGCTTTAAAATCTTGATAGATGACATTCTATAAACAAATTTTTTTGAAGTTCCATCAGGTTTGTTGACATTTTAACATCTAAAAATTAGATGCTTAGTCAATGTTCAACTTCAAGTGTAAATGTCATTGCCAAATAACAGTTTCATGAGAATCTGTAAGATATGAAACAGGTATTTATTAGCTCATCTGATTTTGTACAGCTAGCTATATCGGAAGATCAATATAGACTCAGTTCAAAAAAGTTGATGAACATTATCCAAATTTATTGAAAAAAGACGTCAATTTATCACTAAGATGCTTGATAGTTATATACTCTGAACACGAGTCATTCGATCTAATCAGTTTCAACCTTTAAACTCGTTATTAAATGTTACATAAAATGAAATTTTTCAAAAAAATATGCCAAACAATCAATCTCTTAGATTGGTTGAACTTAGACATTAAGACAGCTAGATACCGGCTCAGTAGTCTAGAGGTTAAGTGCTCGCACGCGAGATTGATAGACCTTGCGTTCTAATCTCGAGGGGCGGAAATGTGGATGTACACTTCTGAGGAGTCCAGTACTAGAACAAAATTGTCCAGTGCTATCAGGTTTTCAATAGTGGTCTAGCTTCAATTGACTCATCATTTCAAATATAAAATTGCTAAAAATCTACACAAAACCTTCGTTTGTATGTACTTCATATTAAATTTGTAAGATAAATATTGTTATACCATCGAAAATCGAGGCTATACTCATTTATCTGTCTTTTGAGCATGACTTTCACATTTCTATCTATCTGTGTTGATAAATATTTGGAGACTAATAACAATTCAATTATTCGGTTATCATATTTTTCTAAATGTATTACATAGTGATTTTATTGTATATTATCTATGATCACAGTACCAATAGTGAGTAATTATAAAGAGTATCGAAGAGATAATATGTTCTCATTTGAAGCGACAAGTACTATATTCGAAACCTATAGTGTAAATCAACCTTAATAGGCAGATAAATCCTACTGACTAGTTCCAAATAAGACTTCTAACCATATTTTATTTATTCTAATGAATTCCCTCATTTAAAGTGAATGAATTTGTTATCTAAAATCTTAATGTATCTGTGTTCGATTGTCAGAACAAATGCTATTCACATTATTGGAAGAAAGAGAAATGGAAAAAAAAACAATATTTTTCATTTTGTTCATTGATTAAGTGTAAAGAAAACTAAAAATAATTAGATTCATTCAGTATTGTTTGTTTGAATCTTCCCATTGATTTGTTAGGACTGCAACTGTTTAGTCTCTTATTGGCCATATGTGCATACTGTACATATTGTTCTAAGCATCAATGGGAAGATTTAAACAAATAATATCAAGTAAATTCAAACTTCATCCCATAGCACAAGCAAGTGGCTATCAGGACTCAGTGGCCGAGTAGATAACGCGATGGCGTTTGAAGCGAGGGTAGTAGGTTCGAGTCTCAGAGTGAACATCAACTCTGGAATGCAGGTACATCCAGCTGACGAGTCCCAATTAGGACGAAACGCGCGTCAAACTGAATTCCACTGCTAGCCACTATCCATCTCTGAAAATAATTAGGTTTTTTCATAAAGTTCATACTATTCTTAGTTAGTAAACTGTTATAAATCAAAAATCACTGAACAGTAATTCCATGTAAATGTGGAAGATCACAATAGCAATGTGTATTCAAGATCCTGCTACTTAAGGGTCAAACACAAGACCTTCCAGTTGTGCAGCATGCAATTGACTTCAATATATCTGAGTTAACATCTAACATTTCACATATCCTACTTCATTCAGTTCATCTGACACAACTAATCTCCACTAATCAAGACTTTTAATGGAGCTACTTTAATTATCTCTCGAAATTGTTCACCAATAATTAAAGGGTGACAATTACTATGTAGACAATTACCAAAGTTGTTATAACAAGACAGGAAACTAGTTAAAAGCAGAAGAGAATAGAATGGAATGAACGTTTTTTACCCTTCAATTCATGCATTGACAGAGATTACACAACCAGTTACAAAAGCTGGAAGCATCCAACTGGTTTTACAGTGGTTTCCAACACAGCAAATATGTCCATTAAATAAAACAAATAAATTTAATATAAGTCAACAACTGAATTATAAAGATGCATTTTTGTCGAAGTTATGGTTCCTTATGTTATTTTGTACTGTTTTCAATGCTTGAAGTATTTATGTGACTGAAAAACCGAAATATACAAAGTTTTTGATTTCAAACTTCAGATGTTATGTTACGTTTTGTAGACACGTGTAGGAAGCTTGGGCTCCCAGCTCTTCCTGAAACTCTCTAGAGTCAGAAACGCATCCAGTCGTTTAATAAAATTCGTCTTTAAAATGAATATGATGACTGTTTTAACTTCATAATGTTTAGGAGTACATGTTGGATGGATAATTTATCGCTATTGGATATTTTATTCTGTTTTATTTAGTCTTTTTTAGGAACTACAGAGGTTTGAGGTTTCAAATATTAAAGCAGTAGACCAAATATAAGTGATTAGAAGTGAGTAATGAAAGCGCTTAAACCAAAACATGTTTATGTTTGATTGTTTAGCTAGCAGTGGAAATCTGGACACATGTTTCGTCTTACTACGATATCGTCACCTGAACATACGCAAATACTTTTGTTGACGTCCACACTAAAACTCGAATCCAGTATCTCTCTCTTCAAGCGTCCGACTCCTTACCCACCTCATTATTAAGTTTAGATTATCAACAATCTGTTTAACGGGGTTGATAGTTATATCATTATTATTATGATCTCTCCTGATAATGATATCATCAACAAACCACAGCTTGAATTAATTCACTGGTTGTTTTTATAGTGAACAAACATCTTGTTTCATATTTGGAACAGTAATATTGTAGAACTTGAGCGGTAATAACGCTAATTATTTATTTAATAAGGACAATAAAACAATTATTGTTGATTTTAACCGGGAGAATTATTAAAACAACAGATTGTACGAAGATCGACAATGGCTAATCGAGGTGATCTGAAACCGAAGAGCCAATCATAAGTTCTAAGTATACACGTTACAAAGTCGGTAGATTTCATTCGATTCACTAAACAAGTCAGATTTCCTAAATCTCTTTTGCAAAGTTACAGTTTATAGTATATCAGGGATGTGAAGTTTTGAATGTAAGTAAAGTTGGTAAAACATTCAACCGTAGAAACAATGAATGCAGCTTCTCTCTGTAATCCTCCGTAACTTCATCGAGCTACGGAAAACATGAGAGCAGTTCAAAATAAGGCATTTTTGGAAATGATTATGATCAAAATACGTATAATGTGGTTCTGAACACATTTTAAAGGATTTTGTTCAAACTACATGAGCAGTAGATAATAGCATGGTCATGTATATTGCTTAAAGAGTAATCAGCTTCTTGGTTTGAACAAGTCATAATAATAATAAGTTAGTACTGCTTCATACTGAATAACCGAAGTTAACTGGCTAGCAGTGGAATCTAGTTTCGTCTTATTTCGGAATCGTCAGCTGGATGTATCTAAGCTAGTCACTAGTGAGCATATGATGACTATTATCAGAAGAAGATTTTGTG